GAAATAAAATTCAAATATAAAAGTGCAAATTTTGACACGCGATCAAAAACGTTTATGCTTCACTGATTACAACAGAGCACAACTGATAACCAGTTAACAATTTATTACCGGTAAGCAAATGTTTGCTCTTGAACACATGAGCACACATTTTTAAATTCAAGTTACTCAGTCACTTTTAAGTATCTTTAAAGATATCCAAAAAACGTTTCATCAACAGGAGTGAGGGGTTTCGACAACTAAAGGATAAATAATAACCTAGAACATAAATAAATTATATATTTGTAATAACCTAGAACGTTTGTTTTCTGGACAGCAAAACTGTTGTTTAGACAGAATTGCTTGTCACATTCGATTACAGAAATATTTTTCCAGTAGTTTTTGAATATTACTTATTTAGACATGAACTGGAATTCTCATTAAGCTCACATATGAAATGCTGTTCAAGGTCATGATACTACATTAAAAAGCTTGTGCATCAACGAAGAAAATTTTAAATTATTATTCATGTAAAAACGGGTACTAATTCCCTTTTATACACGAATGATATCACATGCAGTGGAAAATAGACAAATATGTATAACTGAAAACATAATTTGAAAATTATTTGCAAACTACAGTGGGAATTAACTTCTTCAACTATCCAGCAATCGTGAAAATACATGATGACACTTAGAAAAAAAACTTTCATAAAACATTGAACAATATTTATAATAACTGATACAGGACGAATAATTTAGGTGCATAAAAATATTCATGACAGACACCTAACGAGTCGAAAGATTTATTAATTAATTATTGGAATTTCTAAACACTAAACAGTTTCTGTAAACATTTATCCTACGTTAGTTGTTCTTACATCGAAATATTTACAATATAATCGGTTGACCATTTGTAAAAATGATTACACAGATCCTTTATTTAGTAAATAGTATAGAAAAAGTTTTATTTAGATTATCCAAGCGTAATTTCATTTGAGTTAGTGAAGGGCTTAATTAACATTCACCCCTCTCCATCCTGGTTTGTATACAATTTGATGCAGTTACTTTCATTTTGATTTTACACATAAAATTTCTACCTGTCAAGAAATTTATTTTACAGAGCAATAAATATAACCGTGAAAGTTAGCCGGTTTATACATTTAACAATCGTCATTATTGCCATTACAAAAGAATCCTACATGTTATGCAGCGTAAGAGAATTTAGGGAAGAATCTATCACTTCGAAATCTGTGTTTTTTATCCCCTGTGCTTTATTGTTTTTTTCTGTGAACGTGAAGCCAAGTAGACATCCACAAGAAGTATTACTTGTTAATTACTGATATTAATAATACCAGTATAATTATTGGGGCTTTTATGACGACAAACTAACACAATTCATGGTTACAACGAATTCATGACGTCCCTTGACCATTCAATCGCACATGATATCATACTGTAATCCAAACGACGTATATATGTACCTTTATTGCTATGTAACTCAATTGTAAGGTTTTCAACACTGAGATTCAGGTGCACGCAATTGACGATTCCCACGTAGGCCAAAATCCATCATGCATTCCAGTTCTTATTCGTGTGTCTATTATGTTTCCAAATAGTGGACAGCCGTTAAATCATGAGTGTCCTTTTCATCCTATTCGAGACTTGTTGACTGACATTGTGAATGAATCTTAGTGTTACTATTCATAATAATGTTCGAAACATAATATCTATTGGTCTTAAGTGTTAAAAATTTGATATTTTTGTAACCGAAAATATATGGTGACATTCACTTGAAGAGACTAACTAGACAGACGAATGAATTTGACTACTAACATGAAAACATAAAACTTTTATGAATAATATTTGTCTTATTTCATATGCTCAGTGTTAGCGTGAAAAGTAAAAAAATAACATTTTGAGCAGAAGGTCATGATAATTTATTTGGTTTCATTTATAAAACACATTTCAATAAGCTAACTCTGAATTTTTATAAATATATACGGGCAGCCGAGGGCACATAAACTGGACATCCCATTGAGACCGATTTCATATATGAATAATCCACCCTATTATATTGTAGCAAAGTGATTGTTAGCCATTTTAGGACCACTCTATTGGCAACTAGTGAAGCATAATATTAAAGATTTATTCTAGTTCATCGATAAGTTCGAAAACATAGACATTAAAGGACAGATGATGATGTCCTTAGGTGTAACATCATTGTTCATAAATGTCCCACTCAGGGAGATTGCCAAACCTATCTATGAACAACTTAGAGACTACAAAACGGAGACTACACTCGCCATGGATGTTATTGAGGATTTATTACTATAATGTACTACGAAGATAAATTTCAAGTTCAGAAGTGAGATATATGGATAAGTAGATTGTGTTGTGATGGATTCGCCGTTAGGTTGCATATTAGATAACATTTTTCTCACTTAACTGTAATACTGCTTATTGGCACAGTATATTGACAAGTTTTCATTTTGCTGTCAACTGAGGGACTATAAGTTCATCCTCCATAGAGACTATACTGACCAGACAGAGACACTCAAGTGGTTTGATGAAGTTCACTATCAAGTAAATTCACGTATGAGAAAGAAAGAAGATAGAAAAGCCTTTCTAGATGTGCTAGTTACAAGGGGAATATATGGGTCACTAAAAAAAACTTATACTACAAAACTACTTGGATTGGCGAATTCACACGTTTTCTTCGTTTTCTATCTCTACAACATACAAGGAACCTTGTTAAGACACTTCGTCGCAGAATCAAGATCATATACTCTCCAGATGTGGTTTAAGAAGAAACAAAGGCATTACATACTACAACTGTCTATGCAGACCCGAACACATAATTTTCCGTTTAGATATCGTGGGGCGCATCTCAAATAATTTCGCGTTGTCAGGCAAGGCGTGTATGAGATCCTGAAGTAGATAAGCATCTTCATTTATCAGAACTATGACCCCTGTGTGCTCCATGTCAATAATTGAAAACATATGTTCAACTTATAAGCGCATAAAGCATTGATGCTTTCATTTAAAATACTCATTAATCAAGGGAGATTGAATATCAACAATGATGAAATACAAATCCTTTGACTAATGATAGTAGAATTTTCGAATTACATGGGTGGTAATACTACGTTTGCGTAACAGTTGTGACTGAGTATTCAGAACGATTATTTTCGCTTAATTAAGGTACTGACAGTTATATTTGTTTTAATACTAGCTAATTCATAATAACACAAGTAAATGTATGCTTTAATTGATTTCCGTACTCTGATGTAAACACCTCTGATGAACATGAGTGAATTTCTCCTTGAATAATACGTTCTCCAATATTAGGTGCTGGTGAAACAATTAAATTCTAAAAATGACAACTAGTAAACTGTCTTTGCATAGAAGACACATTATTATTGATGACGTATTCATGATATGTAATGAAAAGTTCTATATCGAAGTTATTTTCAAGTTATACAATAACTCAAATTCATCACTTGGATGTACAATGAAACAGCAATGTCGATCAAAATTTCCTATTATTGATGTCCTACATATTAAAAGAAATGATGAATCAGTGCAAAGATCTATGAATAGAAATTTTGCTTGGAATGAACAACTGATAATGTTTTACAGTCAGGTTATAATAAGTGCAAAACAGACTTGAATTCATTCGTTAACGCTTACAATATTGTGAAATATGTTCAATGGACTATTCACTTTGCAATTAATCTTGCTACAGGATGAATATCCATCGGGAATACCAAAATATGACAGAGAATCAGCCTTTACAAATTAAATACCCTTCTAATAAGAAATCACTGTTTGTAAGTATTTGGTTCAGTGGAAATATCGCTGAACAAATTGTCTGGAAAGATAGATTAGAAAGGTACTTAATGTAGTCAATCTCCATATAAACTATTAAAGTAATCGACGAAAATGCTCCCGTACGAAAAAGAAGTTCTGAAGCCTGATCACAGTTATCTTAATGTCTGTTCGACAATTCGTTGACATGACTTATCAACCATATATAAGATCATACGTCGATGAAAGTGAATTTGTTGAATAAAATTTATTCACTGATTAAATTGAATTTCTGCCGAGCCATTATGACTTTTTGCCTACTAAATAACATTATGGCTAATGATATCCCACAGTAAGATAATAATTTTGCTTTGGATGCTGCATACAGAATACCTTTTTGGTTTTCTGAAATTAAAATATCAACTGTTAGATCAAAATGGAAGCAATCATATTTTTAAACTCTTTAAAATAACTTGATTCATGTTGAATGATCTGAAGAACATTGATCTATTTGCTTTCAGTTTTTTCCAACCAATTAATGTGACTATTATAACCACATTATCCACATCCTTGGATCTACTGAATGAAGATGAAACTACGATTGAGGACAATCGGAAAGGGATGAAAGAAGCACTAATCTTAACATGTCAGGAGGTCATGGGCTGCAAGAAGCCCCATCACGAGGAATGGATCAAAATGGAAAACTATTGGGATGACTTAAGAAAGGTAGAACAAGAAGACAGCAATTAACAACACCCAAACAAGAACCGAGGTAATCAAGACACGAACTGAATACATAGAAGCAACCAAGTAAGTGAAGAGGAGCATTAGAGCCGACAAGCAGAAATACGTGGAGGACCTATAAACGACGGCGGAGAAAGCTGTAAGAGAAGGAAATATAAAAAACTATATATCACAACGAAGAAACTGGCAGGAAAACACGGAAAACCTGAGAGCTCTGTCAATGATAAAGAAGGCAAGCCAAACACTGAAATTAAAGAATATAGGAAAGGGTGGTAGTTGATAATTAACACTGACCCATCGAGAAAATATTGAATACCGAACCTCTCAGAATTTTTAGTCTCAATGCAAAATGCTTGTTGAAGGTTCGAACTTCCAGATCACCGTATCAGGCCAATTGCTAAATCAAATATTTTGAATGTTTGATATACAGTTGCGTTGCAAAATCGGCCGAATTCGGTTCTCAAGGTCACTGATGGAGAATGTGCTCAGAGGTATGGTATATTATTTTTGTATTTATGAATAGGAGTGGTAGCGTACGTTGATGTCAAATCACCATTTGGAAACCCGGCAATTGCTCTTACTGGGAGTCTTGAATCCTTGGGAGCTAGAGTGTGTCATTCTTTAAGTCACTTGGTTACACATGTTATTTTTCGAAATGGCTCAGAAGTGGTCAGAAGTTGGGCTATAAAGAGAAATATACCAGTAGTATCTCCAGCATGGGTAAAGGCTTCTAGGATGATGAAGGTAAGTCATTAGTTTAACATTTGCCACAGTGTGGTAGGTTAAAGCTCCTGAGGCGGCCTACTCTGAAAAAGAGGACAAAAATGATCTCTCTGGATTATCCACAAAACCAGATAGCATAACTGATGATGTGGAAGCTATTAATAGAATCGGTGTTCCTATTTCAGGTATTGTCCACCTCCGACTCCCATCTGTTTTTTCCGGTAACGCTAGAATTATCCCTTTACTGAGTTTCTATAAAATTAAATTTTCTTTCCTCATTATTTACCCTTTTTTGGTTTACTGGGTTTTCTAATTGTTTTTGCTCTGAAAGCATGTAGTTCTCATCAAATAGGTTTCCACTCTTTTCATAATTGCATGTACGTTTCTACAAAATGAATATTAACCTGAGCCTCATTCCACTGTCATAACTATTAACATTATTTAACAGTCGAATTGAGTTATAAATGTTAGTAAAATCAGTCTTACTATAGGCCTGAAGGAAAGCTAATGACTGAAAAAGCTCAGTATTTAGGTAGTCAGGAGAGATGGAAATATTGACTAGGAATGTTGTGAAGGGTATTTGAGTGTAGTATATTTTAATGATAAGCACGGCGAAAGTGAAGTACATATACGATCTTGAGTTACTTTTTATCTAACGAGAAAACTGGTTTTAAGACGAACTCTGATAAAAAAGTAGTGTCTATATGTAATAGACAGAATTTTTACCGTGCCCAATTATTTTGTCGCTGGCTGCGGGAACTGAGTTGTAAAGATTTGTTAAACCTCTCATAACTGAATATCTGAATCTTTTCAATAATGAGGTTTCCTGCTACTAGTGGTACACTATGAAGTTCACCAGTACCATTTTGTCCTAGGGGTTGTTTTTATTATGTGTGATGTTGATCTGAATCACTGGGTTCTCTAAGAACATGAATCATGAAACAATCGCAAGACGATCTTTGTCACTAAGGTCGTTGATTACGATCTAGTTATCACCTGATAGCATTTTTTTGAAATTAAATAAATAGGCTTTGATACAGTCGTTCTAAATGGTTATTCATGAAAAAGTAGCTATTCACCCACTTTGTACTCTTGCCTAGAAAAAATAGTCTTTTACCGAGTGCTTTGAATATTCTATTCGTTGATTGTGCACCAACCTACTCTTCGAGGTCATTACTCTATACTTGTTTATAGTACTGAGGTATACAAGTATAAAATGTTCGTAATTAGTGAACATTAATAAATTATTGAGACTGTCCGTGGGCCTAAAGATTTTCATAACTTGTCTCGTTATCTCTGACAAATTATAGATCTGCATGCAATCGAGTAGGATATAGAAAGAGTCACTTGATCTTCAAAAATATTTTCATACTACAGCTCACCCATTGTGGTTATTTCGAATTTCGAGTACACTTATCCATAATTGACTGATTAGTTTGTTTGGACGAAAGACTTTATGCACAGTACTAAATGTCTTCACCTTATCTTTTAAAATCTTTAGATATCATGTCTATCTCTGGAATTTTCCAAAAGCCACTTAGCTACAACTTAGGACCAGGTATATATATGTATCGGTCTCAGCCGCCGTACCGGATTAGTACAACAAGATGAACACCTAATTGATAGAATTACTTCAATGGTATTAATGTATAAAAGAAAGATTGAGTATGAGGTTATAATACAGGAAGAAAGAATTAGTTCGTAGAAAGAGAAGTATAAAGTAATTTCAATCTTACGGTGATCGATTCTGAGCCATGTCCCCTAGTCTCCAAACATTGGTTACGACAGTCACGCGGACTCCAACGAAGTAGTCCGCATCTACCAACATGGCTAAGACTAGAAGTTAATGGCTTTATGGGCTGACGCCACGTTTTAGTTTGGCCACTCTTTACTTTCTTCCAACCGTCTTCAACACTAGTCAGCATTGCGCGTCATAGTAATCGGTGGTTGGGCATACGTAACATGTGGCCCAACCATCTCAGTCGATGTAGATTCACAACCTTATCAACTGATTTACCATTATTCAGAAAAAGTCGTTCACAAATTATTCTTAGTCTACAAAATCATAGTGATTATATTCATAGTTTATTCAGAAAAACATATAGATGAAGAACTTGTTTATCCAAAGTAACCAGTAGTTATTATTTAAATATTTTTGCTAGACAGAGAATACAACAATGGATTGTCAGTTTTTAAACCAATCCGTGTGAGTGAGAAATTCATTAGACCGAAAACACCTCCTGGGATGAGAGACTTCCTACTTCGTATTCAAAAAGGTCGAAAATTAAATGGGGAAGACACTATTTGTGATGAAGCTGTACCGAAAAACTCAGAGGACAACATTGAAAATGAAACACGGAATCCAACTGTTGGAGAAGGCTTTCAAAATCCCAACGTGAAATCAAAAGGTATATGTTAATGTTCTGTTTTATTGTCATATGTGTTCCATACGTTTGTACTGTAACAAGTATTGGAGCAAATGAGTTTGGAAAAATTCAGATCTACATTTTAAAAAACAAGTTTATTTAGCAGACCATTAATCATATGAAAAGTACGTACAACTTCTATTTCCATCACCTTTTCACAGACCTCTTGCGGTGCGGTTGACGAGACTACAATTTATGGATGAACCATTGATATTTAAGATAGCGAGTCTTGGATTTTGGAACGAAAGTCATTCATCCATGTGGCCAAATAGCATTTTGGCATTATATCTGATGCCAGTTCGTGATGAAAACCCTAACTTGAATTCGTAACCGTAACTCTCAATCCCGATTCTGAACTCTCACACTAATTTATAGCCCTCTTTAAACCTTAGTAGATTGGTGGATTTTCTGAAAATCACTTTGTTGTCGTTCATAAATTATTGTCTCACCGATAAGTTTTAACGTGTATTTATTAAACACTTATATACTCTTAGTTATAAACTTCCATTTGACTCGGTAACTTTTATTAAATCTTTCTCTATCCTCAAATTGTAAGTTAACTAGAAACCTGTTTCTTCAGAAGTGAAACGTAAATGTCCTAGTTATTTACGTGGTAGGGTGTGTTGTGGTTACCAAATTTATGTATATAATCAACTTCATTTTTATGCTGATACATAAAACGTACATCGTGTATTTTTTACCCATTCTCTGATTGAGACTTGGGGAAAGGAATTCTGCGTAGATTAACAAGAATTAGCATATCAGGTCATTTAATCTTTGATGGGTGGATATCAGTATTATTGGTTTGAACATAACAAAACAAGGTCACATCATATAGGGATTATTTATTTGAACACATAAATATTGGTACAAGGGGCACCAAATACATATACACCACACAGTATCAACGAGACCAGTAGTGGTTATCATTGATTTGTGTGAAGGCTATGATACTGCCCAGGTGCCTAGACTGAAGCAGGTGATTCTCTTAGAAGGCCACAACCGCAGCCTTCGACCTAAAGGTTTGATTCATAAAGTAGGGGAGCGACGCCAGGAGATACAGTCCCATGGTAGCCAGTGACCAACAATATATTCATACTCTATTTGTTACTTCAGGATCCTGGAGCCCATGTTCACCATTGGTTTGAAATCAGGGTTTTCCAACGCCCCCAGGTGATTCCTCTATATCCAACATCCCGGTTAGAGCTCCGAACATTCGCTTCTAGTCCTCTGAATTTAGTAAACAACACCGCCACGAGATAGCAGTAAGCAGGACTTCCCTGATAGTGGTTGTATACGTGCGGCCATGTGAGAGCATTTCGAGGAGAGCCGACTCTCCCCACTCTGGACCGTACCAGGGCATTTAGGGGCCTCATATAGTGATACTGTTTTCTTTATATTTTATCAGTTTCTTATTTCTATTTTTTAACTTTTGTTCCCTCATCATCTTTAGCTGACTCTCTAATTACTTCTACTCAAAATATGAAAGACCAACCAGAAGTTTTAGAATTCCGTAATTCTTTATCACCCATTATTAATAAATCTCAAAGTGCAGATATTATTGAAGATAGTATAATCAATGATTCTTTAATAGAAAATTATCCTGATACTACTAATTTGCAACAAAAAGTATCATCTAAATTACATCTTATCAATCCAAATGTTGATTCACCAACCGGAGAATTAATTGTTCCAAAAATCAAACAAAAATCACATTTATTGAATGAAATTTATAATCAATCCAAAAAGCTGAGAAGGAAATCATCTGTTAATAGTAAACGAATTTCAATTAGTGCCCCACTTACACCAGATGTTCTGCTGGATTTTGTCAGTTCCACACATTCATCAAAATCTGTTAATACGAAAAAGAATAACTCTCAATCTGTAGACAACAAATTGGCAAGTGTACAACAACAACAACAACTGAAAAAGTCGAACCTATTAACATATAAAAAATCTGCGAAATTATTTTCGAATTTAAAGAATTCACCATCAGTTACACCTAAGTTATGTAGTAAGTCAATTCTCAAGGAGGTTAACCATAACAGTACTACTACTACTACCACTACTACTAATAATAATAGTGATAATAAGGCTAAACTAAAGGCTACGCTATCTACAGGTAAAAAAACACCGATTCAAAAACAATCAAGACAGCCTACTCACAATAGTCAGTTGAAAAGTAAAAGTATTACAGAGGAGAAAACGAATAATAATCAGGAAACTAAAAATCTCTTAGCATTATCTAATCGTAAACAGAATGTCTACTCTTCAAAAGATGTTTCAATTCAACAGCGAAAAAGATCACGGAGTGCATTATGTACACAAACACTACGACCTGTAATTGTTCCTCTACCGTCTACGATAGATTCAGAGACAACAACAAATAATACTTGTTTACAGAAATCGGAATCACTTAGCAAGCAACAAGAAAAATCAACTCAAACTTTAATGGTATCTAATCCCATCCACAAAACATGTGGTTTAACCAAAGAACTGTTGCCAGACAATCATTATAAAGGAAAGCCAAGTATTAACGAAATTACACCATTATCAACAACACCGAAACGTCTGTCTGTGAGTCAAATAAAAGTGAGTTGTCATTGTGTACCGTGTATAAATCCTTATATCAATGACCGGAACAGTAGCTTAATGGTTTAGGTGTTCGACTTTCAACCACTATGTTTCAGGTTTGAGTTTCATCCCACCTCGGTTCAAATAGCCATAACTCATAATGTGTGGCTCAAAGCTGAGTACAAGAATCTTTACTTGGTAAATAACTTGTATCATCATATCACTAGTTGTAAAACTTCATGGTTATAGTTCCATAGAACCTCTAAATTTTTTAATATACCAGCAATGTATTGCAATGGCATAGACTTTCATTGATTTTATTGAAATCTGCTATCAGTATCATGGATTTAAGATTTAGTTTTTTTCAGTAATGTGGTTTGCGGGGACTGGTTTAATTTAATAAACTATTTTTGTCACAAATAGACGTCAGTTGTAAAACTATATGAAGTTTTTGAAGCTCTGAGTAGCTATTTAGTTCTAGATTGGAGCTTTAAAGCATTACACATTTATGACATTTATCACTAATGACACCGACTAATTATCACAGTATGTTGCGAATTCGTTGAGATCAAAAGTGTAGACCATTGAACGTTGACTCAATGGTTTAAACATAACTCTGAGAGTGAAGTTTCAGGAGTTCAATCTTGTATAGGGTCATAGATACAAAATTCCAACAAGTCTCAAATTGAAATGTATCAACTTTCTGATACTTCCTGATTTTCAATTACTTTCCATACAATATCAGTCCCTGACGAAAAGTATCCACCAGACTTCATTAATTTGATAGTATTGATATCTTTATGATGGATATAATGAGATGCAGTTATCTCAAGATCGGCGTAGTTTATTAATATTAACATACTCATTTACTGAATATGCGTATCTAATATCGACTGTGAGAGTTAAACGTTCTGACTTATCTTATATTTCTAGCTTCTTTTACCTGATGAATTTTGCAAATACCTACATTTGGTCATAGATACTATGAGGTAAATCTCTCTAATTACCATAATGTTTCACAAACACGTGTCTTCAGTGACCTGGGATATAGCACTAAATGTTCCAAACTTTTTTTGTGTTAAGTCACCGCTAAAAATAAAATATTTTAGATCAGAGTTACAAACAAATATTTTTATAATTTCACGTTCTTTTCCACTAATATCGAGCAAGTGTACAGACTCTAATACTGAATCATCTGTAAGAGAATAATGTGAAGATTATTGAGTCAAAAGTTATTGTACATGATCTGTTTGATAAATATGCAAACTGGGCTTCTGTTTTTTCGTGAAACTGACGAAAAACTTCGAGAAAATTCATGAAATATTGAGGACTATTTATGAAAATAGTGGATTGAAGAAAATTTTGCGGAACGATGCCACAGCTATAGTGCGTTACTTTTAAGAATTTTTTAAACAATGGAAACAAATGGGAAAAGTGTACTGCCACTAATGAGCGGTATTTTGAAGGAAGATAATATTGATATACTCTAAATTATGCTAAACAAATTGTCCATAACCTCAGTTGGCATATCTATCGGACGAACTACTTGGTGTTCAGTAGAGTAATAAAGTACAAAAATATACCAACTATCTAATTATATGGTTTACATGACAAACTGATTTTAGACAACTACTCAAAGTCAGGATGCACTGGACAGCTGTTTCGTCCCAATGGAACGCCTTGACAGCACCATCCACAACATCGACGAGGGTTGAATCCGGGACCTTCGGGTTTCTTACCTAGCACCTAACTTTTGGATTATTTGTCTGACATTTAGTGTTGTACATGTATAATTTCAATCCATTCATAATTTCGCGCGACCATCTTTCATTGCCTTAAGTGCGTAATGCTCTGTGAGGCCGAAAGGTCTTGGGTTTGATCCCCAGTGGGGTTGTAGATGTGCACTACTGAGGACCCCTGTACTAGAACTAGACGGTTGTTCGGAGTTTCTCGTTCTCCGGTGGTTGTTCAAATAGGATCAATTCGTGAAGGAAACTACGAAAATTTAAGTCTCCACAAAACCATACAGTAGTAGTCTGGTTCTAGTTTGTTTTCACGTAAACACAACCAGGTTTGGAACTTTTAATTGAAACATGGTATTCCATGCCTGAAAAGGCAAATTAAACAAAAACTGGCTTATGAGAGCCTCCTCAATTTCTATTTTTGTTATTCAGTTTAACTACCACTAAATCAATTTTTTGTTATTTGTCTGCATCAATGTCTGAGGTCATTCTGTCGACCCCAGAGTGTACGCAACCTTGTCTGTCATTTTTTATTTCCAGATGACTTATTAACACCTGAGATAAAATCTGTCAGACCTGATGCAAGCAAATCCGACCGACATATCGATGGGTCATTCTACTCGTAGGATCCCCTCATTCTATTCAAGTCTTGATTTTACTTATCTTTCAGTGTAATGGGGAATATCACCATTGTCCCTTAAAGCTGCATATTTTTTGTCAACTGACTTTTCAATCAAATATTATTCATCATTATGATTCCACTTCGCTAAATTATCTGTTTTTTTTTCTTAATTTAGACTATCAATAAACGTAGTAGTTTAGAAGAATTCCGGTCTACACCACAGACACGACGCAAAGGTAATATAATTTGATTAATAGTTATTCTCTATTGACCGAAATGACGTTGTAACTAGATAACGAAGTGCATATTTATGGTCTCGGCCTCAAATTACGCTTTTATTATAGGCGTTAGTTATACTACTCAATCATCCAAACCAAATTAGTTGAAGGAGGATCCGAATTATTTATCCAATCGTTAAATATAGAGTCCTTTAAAACCAACAATTTACCGTTCCATATTTGCTTTTTTGTTGATGAATTAATGAATTAGTGGTAAAACACATTATTGGTTTGAACCGCGCTCCACCTACTTTGATGTAAAGGACGGAGTAATATGATCACTTATTTCCACATTGTTAAAGTGATCACGGAACTACTCAACTTTTGTTAAGAATGCTAAAGTCTTACTAAAAACAACGACCGCGAATTCTTTTTACATGACTTTTCATCTTTTCTGATTAGTTCCGACTTTTAGTTCACTCATTTTTGTTATGCTCGAGCATGCTGAGTTGTACCACTTCAAGTTGTTCTTCTTGAATACTAAATTTTTCCTACACTTCGTCTTTCTTCTGTATTAGGAAATACATTACTAGAGAATAAAAACTACGTGAATACAACGCATGTGTCAAGTAATTGTCCTCGTGATCAGCACTAGCTTTTTCAATAGATAATAAAAATAATTTCTTCATAATTTATTTATCTAAACACATAAATATTGGTACAAAGAGGCACCAAATATATTTACGCAACACAAATCCCATTTGATTTGTGTGAGGGCTGTGATACTGCCCAGGTGCCCAAACTAAAGCAGGTGGTTTTCTTAGGAGGCCACACCCGGAGCCTTTGACCTAAAGTCCTAATTCACAAGGCAGTGGAGCATCGTGAGGAGATGCAGTCCCATCGTATGCGGTGACCAACGATGGATTCATACGTCATTTGTTCCATCAGGATACTGCAGCCTACGTGCACCATTGGTTTCGAATCAAGGTTTTCCAACTCCCCCAAGTGGACTCATCGTGTCCACTGGCCCGGTTAAAGTGCCGGATATTCGCTTTTCGTCCAATCAATTTCGTAAACAACACCTACGCCACGAGAAGGCAATGAGTAGAACTTCCGTGACAGAGGCTATATACGCGTGGCCATGTGAGAGCATTTGGAGAGGGAGAGCGGACTCTCCTCACTCTCTGCCGTACCATGGCATTTGGGGACGCTTTATAATTATCTAGATTCCAATGCAGCACTCTAGTATACTTGTCATTTTTAATGCTTTTCATTTTAAATTTGCATACTATATAGCAGTTGAATTTTAAATTATACAATATTTTATAACACTTTTCAGAGATGTCGATAAGATCTCCAGCGGCGTCTGAAATAGGCGCAACAAGAATCAGCATAGTATTTAGTGGAACTCAGTCAGAGTGAGTTTTTTCTCAATGTTATTTAGATTAGTATTATATGACGTTAACTCAAATGTAAACTTGTCTTTATCAAAAAGTCAACTGTCTACGACCAATTCATAACTGGGTATTCAGTTAAAAATATTGTTTAATTGGCTAAATCATTCAATTAGGCAAAAAGCTTGCTTTCTATTTATCACGGTCCTCACATAAATCAATGATAACTGCTACTGGCCTCATTGTTATTGGGTGGTGCATACGTATTTAGTACCCCCTTGTACCAATGTTTGTGTTTAAATAAATCAAATCTCTAAACTATCGTTTATTGTTATTTTAGGTTAAAAATAAAATATTTAAATTGACTTAGTATTGCTTGTTTGAATCTATATCTAGGCAATACGCACAGTATGCATATATGCCCATTAGAGACTGACCAGTTGCAGTCCTAAATAACAATGGGAAGATTCAAACAAACAATACTAAGGGAATTCAAACTTCACCTTATTGCACAAGCAGTTGGCTATCAGGACTCAGTAGCTGGGTGGATCATCCGATGGCGTTTGAATCGAAAAGTACTGGGTTCGAGTCCCAGAGTAAACATCAACTCTGAGATGCAGGTGCATCCAGCTGACGAGTACCAAATTTATTTATTTAAACACATACATATTGGTACAAAGAGCACCAGACAGATATGCGCCACAATTGTGTGAGGGCTGTGATACTGCCCGGGTGCCCAAACCGAAGCAGGTGGTTTTCTTAAGGGGCCACACCTGGAGACTTTGACCTAAAGGTCTAACCCACAATGCAGTGGAGCATCGTGAGGAGATGCAGTCCCATGGTAGCTGGTGACCAACAATTGGTTCATACGCCATTTGTTCCCTCAGGATACTGGGGCCCATGTGCACCGTTGGTTGGGAATCAGGGTTTTCCAACTTTCCTAGGTAAACTTGCCGTGTCCATCAACCCGGTTAAAGCTCCGGACATTCGCCTTTCGTCCTCTGAATTTCGTGGACAATACCCGTGGTGCGAGAAGGCAGTGAGTAGTACTTCCCTGACAGAGTCTATGTACGCTTGGCCATGTGATAGCGTTTGGAGAAGGAGAGCGGACTCTCCACTCTCGACCTTACCAGGGCATCTAAGGGCCAAATAGGACGAAGTGTCGCACGTCCTGGATTCCACTGCTAGCCACTATCCATCTTTGCTTACAATAAAATACTTAGTTTTTTTTAATATGAATATGAATCTCTCATGATATTTAATGTTCTGTTTTGTTTTAAAAAACTTTTTATAGAGAAGAACAAGTTTTGATTGCATTATTGAAATCAAGCAATTTAATTGGCTATGATATCATTAAATCTTCATTTTCACATTCTTCTTTAACAAAAATAAAAAATAAACATGGTACAGCCAATCGTTCTGTTGGGTTATTACCATTTACACATTTAGTCGCAGAATCACCTTGTCGAAGAACATTGAAATTATTTCATGCTTTAATTCGTGGTGTACATATTGTTACTACGGATTGGATACGTCAATCTGTAACTTTTAATATGTGGTTATCTGAATCAGAATTTAAAGTAAGTTCTTTTTTTTTCTTAGAACTAAATTACTTAAGTTCAAAAGGAGTTTTTGTGGATATTTCAGTAATTTTTTATATAGTTGAAATCATGAGTCAATTGAAGCTAGACCACCATGGAAAACCTGGAAGCACTGGATGGCCGTTTCGTCCTGGAGTCCCATAATAGGACGAAACGGCCGTCCAGTCCTTCCAGGTTTTCCATGGTGGTATAGCTTCAATTGACTCACAAGTACTTATATTTGATATATTTAAATAATCAAGTACATATTTGTGCATTAATCTTTGAGTAATGACATCAATATATCTAAGATGCAGACTTTGAGACCTATGGACCAGACAGTTGTAACCAGTTATTCATCGTTCATAATTATGTAATATTATCAGTTCATGTACTTGGTTTCAAGATGCGAATTTCCTTTAATGAATAGTGATGACAATTATTCCATTAATCAAACCAGAATAGTCAGAGCTAGGTCGCAATCTACAAATTTGATTGCTGACATATGAATGCTTGCCCCCAAATGCCCTGGTACGGCCGAGAGTGGGGAGAGTCCGCTTTCCTCGAAATGCTCTCAAATGGCCACGCGAATATATAGCTTCTGTCAGGGAACTCCTACTCACTGCCTTCTCGCACCACGGGTGTTGTTTACGAAACTGAGAGAACGAAAAGCGAATGTCCGGCGTTTTAACCGGGTTGGTGAATGTGGAGTGTCCACCTAGGGGAGTTGGAAACCCTGATTCCAAACCAATGGTGCACATAGGCTCCAGTATCCTGAGGGAACAAATGGCGTATAAATCAATCGTCAGTCATCGGCTACCATGGGACTGCACCTTCCCACGATGCTCCATTGCTTTAAGCAGTAAAACAACACTTCTTTGGAGTAGAAATAGATTACATGTGTTAACAAGCCATTGACTGGATTAAGCCATGTTCTATGCGGGATCACGTTGGAGAACTTAGATTCGCTCTTTTTATTAGCCAATCAACACCAGTGGATAAACTGAAAAGAGTCCAGAACCTTCCGATGTATAAACGATGGATATGCCGACATTTTTTTAACTGTAGCTTCAACCTTGACTTAGTTCACTCTCTCCTTTGTTTTATTTGGTATTCTGATTTTGCGGGCTGATCGAGTAAAGTAAAGCGTTCAAAGAATACTGAGCAATAAAGGTAACTGAGTCGGATATGAAAGGCTTAACAGCAAGCCAAAAATATGAATAATTCCTATTATGTTAATGAAACGGAATATTTTCTGATTGTTCACTGAAATAGCAGTTACATTCTACTTAACTCAAAGTAAGGCTCTTTACTAGAATAGTGATTTCAGCTTAACGATCGATGGAACAAAAAGCCCTATAATAACTTTAATGATAATGATAAAGCTTCACATCTACGCAAATGCCATTTGCTTTTATCCACTTAGGGGCTAGAAAAAAGTTTGTTATTAAACCGTTGAAAGTCAAGTCCTGTTTTCACTAAGCCATTGCTCTTACTAAGACACCATGCCCATGGAGTTGGATATATAGTTTACATCATGGACTGACTTTAGTTAGACAATTGAAAAACAGAAAACCTGTTTCATCTAGTAAGGAAAATCTCATTTGTACTCCAGCAAACTCTCCAGGGATCGAGTCAAATTCCTTCTGACTTAATGATGAGCACTTAACTTTCAAACTATTTATAATATTAATCAATTCATGATATTGCAGGACCAGAATCCATTGTCATTGATATATGTCGCACAACCAAAGTAGTTAAACATCATTAATTATTTCTTCTCACTAGAAGTTAGTCTCTAGCGGATACATAAAGTAGGATAGAAAATACTTCCAAGGTAATAGTAGTAAACTAAATTGACAAAGTCAATTGATTGTTGAAATTCACAGATTAGTTTCATTTAACCAATAAGATGTAGATATATATTTCATTTTCTTTTGAATTTGTCCATTTAGCCTCCTGGATTACCTCGTTTATCACGTATGCAAAATATGAATAGATTATTTTCCAATGTCGGTATTATTTATGTTGGTTTAGATACAAAACCACCACGTCAAGATCTTGTCAATTTATTGAATTTAGGCGGTGCAGTTGTAAGTATATTTATTATAACAATCAACATTCATTTACTTAGTGAGATCTTATCATATATATTCGTTATTTTTAGTTTACTAATGTCGTTTTAATTATTGTAGATAGTAAGTCAGAAAAAATTTGTCGTTTGTCTGAATATATTACTTGTGAGTAACTATTATTTCACAGCACCATTTTCTTTGCCCGCATTTTGTTAGTTAGTTTGGTTGATATTCTTCCAGCCATATTTGAACCATGTTATTTTCCTGACTTTCTTTGTTTAATCTTGAATACACAAATCCATGAAGTCACTGACAATTGAACTGAGCCATGTTGGTAGGTGTAGACTATCTGGTTGGGATCCGCGAGATGATAGCAATTGATGTTTAGAGACGTTGAATAACATGGATCAAGATCGTTTGCAATGGAGAAGATGCATCGACTCTTTGTGTTCTCGTAAATTCTAATCTTCTGAATTCTTCATGTCTCTATCTTTTTTCTCTTTCCAAATTTATTCCACTGGATTATACTCCTTCGATAACATCTCCAAACCCTAATCTTTCGGTTTACTGCTTATACTCTTACTACTTCTACCACTATGGGATTTGAATCGACAACTGCATCTCTATGCTAATGTGGTATGGCAACTCGAACTGATGTACATACGTACGTACGAAGTTCTACGTTGTAACTGACTGAATCTTGAATACTTTTTAATAGTTTAATAAATTCCCGTGTAAATTTGTTCCTCAAACTAATCGTTGGTTAACATAAAATCAAATGCATGTTGTAGAAAGCCCCCAAATGCTCCTGGTACAATCAATGGTATGGGTAGAGTTCACTCTCCCTCTTGAAATCCTCTCATATGGTCCCGCGCATATAACCTATTCCAGAAAAGTCCTACTCACTGCCCGCTCATGATTGGGATACTGTTTACGAAATTGAAAGAACAAAAAGCGAATGCTCGGTGTTTCAACCGGGTTGTTGTGTATGGACATCTATTTAGCAGAGTTTGAAATTCTTGATCCCACTGGTTTTCGTCAGAAAGACACATATAGTGTGTCAAAATACAAACATATTACATGTATCAATATTGTTATAATCTGTTGAAAATTTTGATTTGTTATGATTCATACATCATATCAACGAAAACCCTGAATGAATTGGTTTTGATATAGTTCTTTACTGAATTTTGTGACAATCTGTCGGTAACACTTTAGTGTTTTCAACAATGAATACTAGGTCTTCGGTACAACCAACTGAATTATCTTATATAGAATAAAACCCGCGTCCTGGATTTCACCACTAGCCATTATCTGAAAGAGTAATTGTTTTGAATCTTAAAAAACTTTCCTGAGAAGAGTTCAACATTAAAAAAGATTAATCTTAATGGTGATAAACTGTATATATGTAATGTTTTTCAATAATTTGGCCATATATCGATCTTCGATTGCTTCCAAACGATTGGTTTCTCTCGTACTCTAGGTTGTGGGAAACCTGTAAAATAATGATGTGAGGGGAGTATGCTACTCTTCACTTAGCTGGTGATTGCATCGGTTGTTCGGGATGTCAAATCCCCAGAACTTGATAAATGGCTTAATTTTGTAATTTTATTTTGAAAACTTGAATTTAGCTGTTTTCGCGCCAAACGAGCTCTTTTTACCTTCACGTCATATTTCCCACTTGTAAACTATCTTAAACGCTATTGGTCCATTGTTTCTTCGAGTGTGCTATTTTATAATGATTCACAAGGACAAATTGTTGCTGTATATATACGCTTGAGTTTTTCCACTTATGACTCGCTTGTACTCGGCTGATTATGGAATATACATTCCCCTACTTTGCCTTGGACTTCGTCATCTAGTTAGCGGGGCCTGGGACAATAGATTAGATTAGCTTATCGTGTCATTGTGTCACTGGCCTTCGTTCGTTACCGCGAAATTGACTTAGCTCAAGCATATCATTGGTCACGTCTGTAAACAATGTTTAAAAAGTGTGGCCTTAATTGATTGAGGAATGAGTGACGCACAAACTGATTACCTCCAATCTTCAGTGACAATTTATCATGCTTATTTTTCGGTTAATAAGTTGGTATCTAAGCATGCCCTGTTTATAACACTCAATGGTCTTGTTTTTAATTTAAAACCATTCGTGGACTCACGTTAACGATCCGGTCTCGTGTACACTCATCATTTAACCACATCGTATTATTGCTTTTATATTTCCCTTCCCTTGAATAATCCGTAATTATTTCTTAAAATCAATAAAATCTTCCTCCGTAACTTGTATTCATCTTCACCCGAATGGTGGAACATCTCCGTACTTATTGGACCCGATAAACTTGCGTCTCTCCACTTTTCCAATACAGTAGCGGGATGAGGCAGGGTTATCCGATCTCACCACTCCTATTCAATTCTGATGTCAATGACATTCTAGAAATAGCTCTAAATCAAGTATGTGATCGTAGCGTTATAGAACTGTACCAAAATCTATCTTCATCAAACGAAGGTAATAATACTTCTCTTTTCAGTTTTTCCCGACTTTGTGATCAACAGGCTGGATTCCGTAAGAATAGGTCGTGCACAGACCAAATTGCGACACTACAGATCATCGTTGAACAATCAATTGAGTGGAATTCGTTACTATACATCAACTTCATTGACTATGAGAAAGCGTTTGACTATGTGGACCGGAGAACATTATGGAAACTTCTTCAACACTATGGAGTTCCTGAGAAGGTTGTAAACATGATCCGGAACTCATATGACGGACTACATAGCAGAGTCGGGCATGGAGGACAGCTGATAGATGCATTTCCAGTAAGTACCAGAGTCAGACAAGGCTGTCTACTCTCCCCCTTGCTCTTTCTTCTGGTGATTGACTGAACTATGAAGACTTCGACATCTGAGGGGAAGTACGAAATACAATTGATATCTCAGAACCAATTAGACGATTTGGACTTCGCAAATGACCTAGCCCTCCTATCTCTTACACATGAACAAATACAGACGAAGACAGCAAATGTAGCAGCAGCCTTTGCATCAATAGGCCTCAACATACACAAAGGAAAAAGCAAGGTTCTCAAATACAACACGGAGAACACCAACCCAGTCACACTTGATGGCGAAACTGTGGAAGAGGTGGAAACATTCACATACCTGGGAAGCATCATTGAAAAACAAGGAGGATCTGATGCAGATATAAAGGCGAGGATTAGTAAAGCAAGTACCGCATTTCTACAATTGAAGAACATATAGAACTCAAAGCAACTGTCAACTAACTTCAAAGTGAGAATCTCCAATATGAACGTCAAGACAGTCTTACTGTACGGAGGTGAAACATGGAAAACTACTGCATCCATCGTCAAGAAGGTACAAGTATTTATAAACAGTTGTTTACTCAAAATACTCAACTTTCACTTACCGGATACTATCAGCAACAGCGTTTTATGGGAGAGGACAAACCAGCTTCCAGCTGAAGTGGAAATTAGGAAAAGACGTTGGACATGAGTAGGACATACATTGAGGAAATCACCAATGTGTATTGCAAGGCAATCTCTAACTTGGAATCGTGAAGGGAAGTGGAAAAGAGGAAGGTCAAAGAACACATGACGTCGGGAAATAGAAGCAGATATGAAAAGGATGCACGGTAATTGGAAAGGATTGCCTAGGACAGAGTTGGATGGAGAATGCCGGTGTGCGTCTTATGCTTGTTCATTAAAGGTAACAGGCGTAAGTAAGTAAGTAAGTTTCAGTTTTTTATTATTTACACTTATTCGCTTTGCTAATTTTCTTTTTCTCTCTTAAAGTGCTAATATAAATTATAGCTAATTGGATTGACCTACATCTATGCCAAACTCTTTACATCATTATAAATAAATTATATATTTGTAATATCCCAATGAGTAGAAAAATTAGATTTTCTGACGTTTCGTGACTCAGTGTAAGCCACTTCTTCAGAGAATAAATAACCAAATTAACATTAATCCAAGTTTAAATAGTACAACGGAACAATCATTGTCTGTGTCATATAGTTAAAGCAAAACACAGTAAAGACATGGGTTTTTTTACAGATAAAGTTATATTATATTAGTCCTTCTTCTTCTTCTTTTGTTTTTTAGCTTACCAATAAGAAAACAGAAGCTACAATTCTTATCGGTTGTAATATGTTAAATAAAATCTGTATTCAGCCAAATTGGATTTTAGGTATTTGATTCATAGTTTATTGGATTTCTTTTTTTTTATTTCATTATTTACAACTTGACGTTTCTCATTTCTCAAGGTGAATCCTCTATATCTACCAACCGATAGAAGCGCTGAAGATTCGGTTTTCATTCTCTCAATTTCGTAAACAACAACCCTGCTACGAGAAGGTAGTGAGTAAGACTTCCCTGATAGTGGTTGTATACGCGTGGCCATGTGAGAGTATTTTGAGAGAGCTGACTGTCCTCACCCTCGACTGTACTAGGACATTTGGAGGGAGATTAAAGACGATGATACATAAGCTATTGACACTATATCCATTATCCATACATTCCCTGTTGAAAATCTTAATCTATATTCATACATATTATCTCAGTGAATGTATGTATTATGACCAAGTGAACTGATTCAATAATAAGAAAAGAATTACAGTGATAATACATGAATGGTGTGGAAATATGCTTACGTCCTAGTCAGGCTAATCACGTGTTCTTAATGTGAGTTGTATTGAGGTCCTGTAGAATAGACACTAGAAGGTATCTATTGTAGATATTCATCTAAGGTAAATTAATATCCGATTCTTGTAGACCAGGAAATCCGAGCGTTATAACAGTAACAATTCCAAAATAATGTATAAAGTTATCTGAATTTAATAAATCTATATTATTATCAGGAAGGGGTTTTGTAGAAATTGTAGTAATTTAATAGTTGAGTTCATGAGTCATTTAAAGCTATACCACTATATAAAACCTGGAAGCAATGGACGGTTGAGGAATCTCATACTAGGACGAAATGACTATCTAGGTTTTCCATGTTCGTGTAGCTTTAATTGACTTATGAATTCAACTATTAAATCTCTATTAAACATAATGATTTACTATTCATATTTAATAATTTGAGGATAAGATTATCGTAAATTTAAAAAGAAAAAACAAACATTTAGTATTGTTTGTTTGAATCTTCCCATGAATGTTTAGGACTGCAACTGTTTAGTCTCTAATTGGCCATATGTACATACTGTGCGTATTACCTCGACATAGCCTTAATTCACAGGCGTCCTAGATTTCACTGTTAGCCACTATCTATCCTTGCTTATAATACTTGTGAATTAAGGCAGTATAGAGGCAATACGCACAGTATGCACATATGCCAATTAGAGACTGATCAGTTGCAATCCTAAACATCAATGAGAAGATTCAAACAAGTAATACTAAGTGAATTCAAACTTCACTCTATTTCACAAACAAGTGGCTATCAGGAATCAGTAGCTGAATGAATAACGCGATGACGTTTGATGTGAAAAGTATTGTGTTTAAGTTCCAGATTGAAAATCAACTTTGATATGCAGTTACATCCAGTTGACGAGTCCCAAATAGGACGAAACGCGTATTAAACTGGATTATACTGCTAACCACTATCCATAGTTCATAATTGTTTAACCTTATCAATTTTGTATCCTTTATATATTTCATATTCTCATTATATCAATGTATCTATTTATTTATCTTTTTTTATTATAGATTCCATATTTCAAGCCAAATTATTAGCATTAACAAATTATGAAATGTAAAATGTACAGTTATCTAAGTCTATTCTCATGTTATAATTTTGCTTTATCTTAATTAGTTTTTTTTATTTGTTTTTGTTTTCTATTAATTGTACATAAATTTTCTTTTGTTTTAATTTTTTTAAAAAGAAGTTGTAACTAGTGTTTCGTCCTTTGCTTTTTTCTTCTTCTTCTTCAGTAATGTACTTTTGATTAATTTTTTTCTTTGTTCAATAAATGTTATCTGTATAGATTTGTTTATTTTGTTTTTACTTTCGATATATGTTTATTTATTTACTTATTTATTTATTCAAACACAAGAAAGCAGTAAACAGATATGTGCCACATTCGAATTGTGTATGGGCTGTGATACTGCTCGGATGGCTAAACCGAAGCAGGTGATTCCCTTAGTGGGCCATAATTTGAACCTTTGATCTAAAGGTCTAATCCACAAGGCAGTGGAACAATGTTAAGAGATGTAGTTCCATGGTAGTCGGTAGTCAACAATAGGTTCATACTCCATTTGTTCCTTCAGGATCCTGGAGTCCATGTTTATCATTGGTCTAGAACCAGGATTATCCAACTCTTCTAAGTGGATCCCCTGTATTCACGAACCCGGTTAAAGAGGCAGACATTTTTTTTTCGTCCTCTGAATTTCGTAAACAACACCCGTGGTACGAGAAGGCAGTGAGTAGGACTTCCTTGGTAGTGGCTGTATACGCTTGGCCATGTGAGAGTATTTCGAGAGAGAGCTGACTTTTCACCCTCGACCGTAGCAGGGCATTTGGGTGCTATGTTTATTTGAATAACCCTATCGTTGTTCACTATGATTCAATGAAATTTTTACTATTCACTGCCTAGGACAAACAAAGTATGATCAGGGTTTAAACTTTACGTCTTATCACATTTTTCATAAATAAGTAAACATTGAGTAATTGATGTATTGTCCAGTGAATCAAATCATCTAAATCTTGTTGGATGTTTCAAGCAAACCTTAATGTAGAATTTTCTTGCATATATTGTGACAATTCTTCTTGCGAAATTAGAAGTTGAGTTTCACCATAAATTGATTTGATTTGTCGAAATATAATTCTTTCTAGTTTGTAATTCCTTCATAGTGAGTACCGAAAGCCTCACTGCAGATCAATGACATGGAATTCCGACTTTTAGATTATTACATCAGACTACAATGGTTTATATTACAGTTCAGTCAGACTATCCAGTGTGATCAGTGGGTTATCGTTTGTCTTTCAACTTGATTATTTCCATATGTAATGTGTGCCCGATTCTTTACAGTTTTCAATAAGGAAGAAACACCTTAATAGCAGTTCTCTAGCTAACGTCAAATCATTAAGTATCTTGGAGACTATGGAAAATCATTCTTATTTCCCTACTAGATTGTTAGAAATATTTTGAATGTGATTATTATGTACCCCAACATAGATCAGATATTCTATGCATAAATCTCTTATCTTTCAACTAATATGTTCTAGATTTAAACTCTAATTCACCTTCTTCCGTTTGAACATTCCACCAATGGTACAAGTGGGCCTCACAAAAGTAATATGGCTTATAGTTGAATAAATAACTTAATATCTGTTAGATTAGTTTCATTAATATTAACTATCCGAATGACTAGTTTTTCTCATTTTTGAACTCAATCTGTTGCTGTGTACTGCTTCAAACATTTGTCTATTTGAGCAATACAGCTACAGTTGCTTAGTTTGAACATATTTAAAGAACAACATATATTAAACTAATGGCTAGTTAGATCAAGTTGTTGGATTATTACTGATAAATATAGTCTCTATTTTATGACAACTGAATAATCTCTCATAGTTGAAATCATTAGTCAATTGAAGCTAGATCACCATGGAAAACCTGGAAGCACTGAACGACCATTCCGTCCTATTATGGGACTCCTCAGTGGCAGTGCGCATCCACGATCCCGCATTCATGAGATTCGAATCCAGGACCTACCAGTCTCGCGCCAGAGCACTTAACCGTCCAGTGACTCCAGATTTTTCATGGTGGTCTAGCTTCAATTAATTCATGATTTCAACTATGAAAAATACTGAAATCTCCACAAAACCCCTTCTGAATGTTCTCTATTATTATTTGTAAATGTTCACTTGCATTACTGGTTGAACTTCAGAAACTTAGTGTCTGATCTTTATTATTAATAAGGTTACTGGGTTTTGTTCTCCAAAAAAATTACCTGTAATTAAATGATGCATATATATTCTACTTTGAATAAGTGTTTTTTGTCTAACTACTAATAGCTTTCATTTGTTTCATCGCATGTATAACCTACAAGGCTTCTAATAGTTAATTAATGACGGAACAATGTACGCTACATTTAAAAGTTTCAACCTTTGTCGTATCATCTCAAAATGGTTTAGAATAGATTATTCAGAAAAACTGAAACATCTGATGATACTTTTAGGCACTTGTTCATTGTGATTCTTGTGTTTATCAAAATTTAAAAGTTCCCATCGTACATGATTCTAGCTGATGAGTCAGTTGTATCCTAATTTTGTTTGTATTGACCGAATACTCACTGATAAATTTTCTTTTTTTATAATTTAAAAACTTAATGTGTTGAATAATTGTTTAAAAAGTTGTGTAATTGTGGGTCAACACTTTTCTATATGGAGATAAGTTTTCTTTTGATATCTTTCTAATCCAGTTTATTACTCCATTCAAGCGTTGGGAGTGTGTATATTATCTAAACTAGATAGTAGGTTAGAAGAAAGCTAGGGGCGGCCAGACCGAAACGTGGCATAAATCCATGAAGTCGCTGACAAGTGAACTGAGCCATGTTGGTAGTTGTAGACTACCTGATTGGGATCCGTGAGATGATAGCAGTCGATGGTCAGAGACCTTGAATGACATGGCTCAAGTGCATCCACTCTTTGTGTTCTACCAAATTCTAATTTTTTCAATTCTTCAGATCGCTATCTTTTTTCTCTTTTCAAATTTATTTCACTGTATTATACTCCTTCAATAACATCTTCAAACCCTAATCTTTCACATTAATGCTTATACTCTTATTATTTCTACGCCTATGGGATTTGAATCAACGACTGCATCTCTGTGCTAAAGTGGTATGGCAACTCGAACTGATGTACGTACGTACGAAATTTTACGTTGTGACTGACTGACTGAAACTAGATAGCACCTCATATAACAACAACCATTTCGTTTCAAATGGACTTGGATGTAATTATTTACATACAACATCTGTCATTGCATCGGAATACACATTTGATTCTTCTATTTTTATTATGTGCAAAGTAATTTATTAACTAATTATCTTGTATATTTATAGCTGATTACAACATTGTGAATGAAATTCCGCATCAAAACCAATGATCCTGGATGTATTGAAAATTTTTCCAGTGAGTTTACAATTTTTTATATTTAAATGTCCAGTGTGTTTGTGTGTGTTTAGGGATTGTTTTCCCTATTGTTTTGCTATGATTAAGTTTACATTAATAGATTAGATAATGTGGCGAGAAGAATATAATTTATGGATGAACCAATTGATACGTCTCGTCGTCCTAAGCTATTCTGGTAACCCACAGGCTAGAACTACTCAGCGACTTGAACACCAGAGAGAAGACGCAAGTACGAGAGGAAATACTTTACTCCAAGTTTCGTTCATGTACAGAAAATCATAGGTATTTATAGATGTTAGCGTCTGTTAAATCAACATCATATGTCAGCCAATCCGTTAACGACACATTATGCTACCGATCAATAGTAGCACGCCACGTTGGAATTCTAGAATGTTCCATCGTTCTCTGATTGGCTAGGGCTCTTCAGCTCCTTTTGGGCCTCTGGAGGCTCCGTTGAAGTTCTCCGGAAGCCGACTCAACACCAATCATTATTTAAGATTTTGAATTTCAGCGCGAAATTCATTCACTTATTTGGTTAAATATCATTTTGGTATTATAGCTAATGTCAGTTCGTAATGAAAATATCAATCTAATTCCTAATCCTAACGTACAACTGTAAATTCTAATCCCAGTTCCTCACATTAATCAATAACCCTCATTTAACCCTAGCAAGTGTACATACCAAAGGCATTTTAGCGTTGCTCAAACATCGTCCATAAATTATAGTCTCACCATTAATGTCATCTTCAATTATGACACGGCTTATCAGATATTTCTGAGCAGTTTTTTTTATAAAGGCGCTTGAATCATATCAGTTGTTCATTTGAAATTTAAATTTGATGTTACTACTGTTTTATAATCATGGTCTGTTGTTAATTTGTTTTTTAAATACGTATTTGTAAATACCCTAAACACCTGTTACTCAGATACAATTTCCATTGATCTACCCCCCCCCCTCAAGATGTCTTGTTTAAGGTAAATTCATATCAAATAATTATTCTAGAATCTCGTTTCCTAAATACATCAAATTTAATACAATAGAGATGTATTCTCTATGTCCAATCTTTCTCACTATCATTGGTGTTGTCATTATTATTTCGACATGTTTGATATTTATCTTGTTAATTCTATTTCTTATTGTTTGTATACTGCGGCGAACTTGACTAATCCACATTCTGATTTAGGTGAGATCTCCCAAATGCCATGCTACGGCTGAGGATACAGAGAGTCAGCTCTCCCTCTCGAAATACTCTATAGACTAGAACTTATAGACGACCTTTGAACGAATCTCAAGTGACCTTCAGAAACATTAGCCAATCAGGTGACAGCATAGAGTAAAAATATACAACACCAAAGAATTACAGTGGATACACTTCGTTTGCATGGTCCAAAAACTTGTCAACGTTAGAAAGAGGTTCGGAGATTCTAAAATCGTAATGCAAACGGTAGAGAAACTCATCCATATGGCTAAATAACACTAGGTCTCTCAGGCCATGATAAGGTCACAAAAACTCGCTCAGCCTCGACCACATAGCTTCAATACTGTTTGTATGTACTCCAGTTGTGTAAGTTTATCATTTTTATTATGTATATGTCCCTACAATACTCATACCACTGCACAGCCGAAGCTTCAGTAACATCTGCGATCATTGCAACCAATAAAACTGGAGCTTTTATTATACAGTTGGCGGCAATTATTATAATTTGCCTTAGTCTCAATCTGGATCGAGAGAAAAAAGTTCCTATTTTAGCAAACTTCTTCCGCTAACATATATTACATCGAAAGATAACATCATCAGGGTAGCCTGCACAAAGTCTACAAGTCAATTGATTACCAAAATTACAAATAAAGGAACTTCTTAGTAGTCTTTTTTATTGTAACCGCTTAGTTGTCACATTTTCTCTAAAATCCTCTGTGAACCGATTGTACATGAACATCAGGTACTGAAATTGGCGCTGTGACCTTGAAATCCCTCAGACGCTTCTGATTGACTCGTCCATAAATGATGGTCTCGCCTTTTTTTGTTTTTAAAAAACTGTCCTTCAGATATTGTTCAGATGATTGCTGGATTAGCAAAAAATGTGATTTTACATTTAAACAAAAATCAATTATCATTTATTATTAAAGAACGATCTGTATTTGGTGGAGTAACTGCATGGTGTGATTTAGATCTTGTAAGTTATGCAATTTTTTGTTTACACAAGAAAATTAATTTTCTTTTTTCAGTTGGTATGAATTAACAACACATAATACAAAAATATCCCCCAAATGCCCTGGTACGGCCGAGAGTGGGGAGAGTCCGCTCTCTCTCCAAATGCTCTCACATGGCTATGCGTATATATAGCCTCTACCAGGGAAGTCCTACTCACTGCCTTCTCGTGGCATTACTGTTGTTTACGAAAATGAGAGGACGAAAAGCGAGTGTCCGGCGCTTTAACCGGGTTGGTAGACACGGAAAGTCCACCTGGGGGAGTTGGAAAACCCTGATTCCAAACAAATGGTGCACATTGGCTCCAGTATCCTGAGGGAACAAATGGTGTATGAATCCATCGTTGGTCACCGGCTACCATGGGACTGCATCTCCTCACGATGCTCAACTGCCTTGTGGATCAGATTTTAAGGTCAAAGGCTGAATCACTGTAGAGAAGCCGTGAATTGTGAGTAAAAGTTGTACTTCAAGGTTAGTTTATGTACAGAAAACGAGGGTCTTTATAGAACTACATATGACCTTGAGCTCCTGAAAATTTTTGGTAACACACTAGGGTTTACTATTAGGAAAGAGACTCAAGATGATCTAACAAATACATAAATGAATCAACAGCGCCACATAGTAAGTCCGCTGAATAACCATTACTAAGTTTCATGACATCTATGCCATTCGTAAAAAGTAGAAGATGACCATTCAGTACAATAGAAATAGGATATCAATGATTAATAGCAAAAGAAGGATATATTAAGTACAAATATGAAAGAGGCAAATAACGATACGACGGAAAATTGAGCCTCTTACGAAAATTAAAATCGTGAATGGCGAAATGGCATTATGTTGCTCAATCGTAATCTTTGATAACACTCTTTGACGCTTCAAACGATTGGGAAGCTTCCAGATACAATTTATTTAACATCAAGTTATCGATAGCCTTGACACATTCGGAACGATAAGGTTACTGCTTTGTAAGCTATTCACTTACATAATTGGTAGAAAAAGTGAACATCAAGAAAATATTTACCCTTGATATTGATTATTCACTTAATTGAAAGGAATGGGGTGAAAAGACTTTTAAGACGGGATGAGAAAGTGTTCATTAAAACAAATGCCAAATAATCGTCATGGTTGATTGTTGCCTGACGATATCTCTGGACAGATAGAGAAAGCTGGTTTATCGTTTATCGACTTGTATGCCGTGTGGAGTAGACGACATATCCATCTGTCAAGGAAAGAATGAGTTTACTTCATATCAGTTCTCTCCGTCCTAATTTATGAATGTAAAACACGGGCACTGAGGGTAGAGAATATCTGTAGGTCACTAGTATTCGATTACAAGTATCTTTGAAGCATCGCTAACGTATGCTGGGACCACTAAGTGAGAAATTCTGGGGTCGGTCACCTGGTACTCGGTATATATGGCAAATCAACTGGTGAGATAGTGAATGTTTATCATATGAATTGGTTGGCACATGTGTTATGTGTGCCCAATCAACGAGTACCTAGACGACCGATACTATCTTGTGAAGGTGTTGGATGAGACAAAGTCGGGAGTAGCCAAACCAAAATTTGGTATCAATCTATAGAGCGATTGACTGTTGGTTCAAACCATTTTCTTATGTAAAGACTACCTGGTTGGGCCTCGCTTGTTTGTCGTAATCAGTGTTTGAAGTCTTTGAATTGCATGGTGCAGAATCGATCACAACTGTGTAGATACAAAATTAAAAACATTGAAAAACTACATCAGCTTTGCTTTTGAAATTCTACGTTATTTCTTTTTAATGCGTTTTTTTACCTAATCTCAGGCAATATTATTTCCTGAACGTATATGTGAAGGAATTTCACCGGATCAAGATGAAATATTCCTGGAATTAATTATTGATCACTTACTGCATTGTATTCGTCCGAATACTCAATCTACATCTGGTCGTAATCCTTTATATGGTTCAAATTCCACATCAACCTCATATACATCAGTGAATAAATCTCGTATTGGATCTAATTCTGTAACAGGAATGATTAGTAATTTAGATCAATCAGTTTGTCGACTACTTGGGTTGAAAATAAAATTAGTTCGACGTAAAACTCCTTGTTTAGCAATTGAACTGGAACAGGTTGGTTGTTTTTTTTAAAATCTTGCATAAAATCCCATTAATTGTGTTAATGCATTGTCACCATTGGCATATTTAGTTAGAATTGAAGCTTGTTAATAAATGTAATACGTTTCAGAATTTTAAACGAAATCAGCCAAAAAGTGATTGTTTTTAATCACTAATTTGAAACTTTTATATCGCATACGTATGGTTAGATCTGGTACCCCGATAGCTCATCCGTACTGGCTGATCTTCACACTTCCTTCAAAAGATCGTGAAACTGATAAGGTGATCTCCGGCTGTCTAGTTTTTTTTGTTTGCAAAGGGTAGTCCTAGCTGCTACGGAGAACGGCGATACCATTTTTCTAATTCATCTATCCGCAACAACGTCTGCTGTTATCTGATTAGCTATTGTTTGCTTATATCATCGTCTTACGGTCATTTTATGTTATTATATATATACAGAGGTGTTTCATTTCAAATTTGACTCTAACTTCTGGGATATCTAAGTCTTTCTACAATATTGTCTCCTTCCTCTTGTTTGAGAGATAAATGTTGAAGGGTTGTTTGTCATAGTGACTGTACTTACTGAGTTTGGAGTAAAGCATTACTATACCCCCGCATGAAATTTGTTAACCTTGTACTCTAATTAATCTTAGTTCGTTATGAAATTCTTAACCCCTAACTCTTAGTCCTTATTTGTAACATTCATATTTGATTCTATTTCGATTTATACACCGTGATCCTGAAGTAGTTTCTACGTTCACCATTCGTTCGGTGATATAGTACAGTTTTACCAGAGTTCTCGTTGATTCCTTGTTCATAATTAGAAATTGCCATAACTTGACCGAATTGTTTATCAAGATATAACAGAAACTACGTAAGCATTTTACTCTTTCCCATCATCGGTTCTAGTTGCAATAAACTTTATGAATTCTACTTGTATTCTCGGTTTTTGGGGACTATGCTCTAAAAGGTTATATAGGGAATGATGCATACTTTGTGCTACTCCATCTTGCTTCCGGAGTCAATACGTAACCATACACAACACAGTGAACCCTGTTTGTAAACTAAATCACATAATCTTGTTTGACGATCTTCAACAGTGCATACCTATAACTGTCTACGGATTCAATCCAGGAGCTTCATGTCTAACCGTAAATAAGATACAACTGTTGAATTATACACCCTGAATTCTTATATCATTCGAGTTAGTGTTTGTCTTCAACTAAAAATCTTCATGTACTACAACTGGATGTTTACTTTTGTTTTCTCTAAACATTTAGTCAAGTGTTACAGGCCATCCACGTTCTGTTTGGCATTTTATTCCCGTCCAAGTTGTACCTCCACGTTTATGGGATGAATTTGTTGAGACACCAGATCCAGATTTTCACGTAAGTGTCATAATGAAGTCAAGTTTTCATCTATAAAAAATGTACCATTATTGATTAGTAGTTAATCATAACAAAAATAAAAATTTTGTATTACTTAGCCATAGGTTACAATTAACTCTCTGACCTTGATCAGAGAAATATGCATTTCCCAACTGATATAACTTAGACCAATATTCAATAACTTCTAGAACTGAAGTTCTGGCTAGCCACTACTAGCTTTTTTATTTACTTCCACGTTAACCAGCACAGGGTGATAGAGTAGTACCATGCCCAACATCCTCAACATCATATCCCAAACACTAGTGTCAATAACTGATTACAGCCTCATAATTCAACTTATCGTTTCTATCTGAATTCTTGTGGTTATCTTTAAAATATCTGGTATTAGTTCCATAATACATAAATAAGGATTTGAATGACACACATATATTATCAAGTTCTTCTAACTTACTTATGTTTTCCACTTTTATAAGATATGTTTCATAACTATGGAGCAGACTAATTCACAGTATATTTGGGCATTACGAATTGACAGACATCTTAGTTTTTACATAGGTGGTGTAAATGTAGTCGCCTTATGATTTATAGTTTGTAGCCGACGTTATTTCATACTATAAAAACAATCACTTACAGTATTTTGCAGTAGCAGCTAATTTTGGAATTCAGGAAGCACGTTTCGTCCTACTTCCTTACTCCTACTACCCATCGTGAAGGAGCATAGGCCACTGTACACGATTCTCCGGCCAACTCTACCTTGAGCCCTCTTTTCCAGTTGTTTCCAAGACTTTTTGGTTCCCGCCTCCAATTCTCGACGCAATGTGTTCTCTAGTTTGCCCTTTTTCATTTCGCCTTCGGGATTTCAAGTTAGCGCTTGCCTCATAATGCAGTTTGGTGATTTTCTCAATGTGTCTCCTATCCACCTCCAGAGTTTTTCCCAAATTTTTAATTCATCTGGATGTTGGTTTGGTCTTTTCCATAGTAGGTTGTCGCTGATTGTATCCGGACAACGGACATTGATTATCTTGTGTGGACAATTGTTCATAAATATCTGTACTTTTTTATGATGGCTGTAGTAGTTCTTTAAACTTCAACACCATACAGTAGAACTGTCTTGACATTCGTATTGAAGATTCTGATTGTGACACTCATTGACAGTTATTTTGAGTTCCATATGTTCTTCAACTGTAGGAATGTTGATCTTGCTTTACCAATCCTTGCCTTTGCGTCTGTGTCAGATCCTCCACGTTCATCGATGATGCTACCCAGATAAGTGAAAATCTCCACCTCTTCCAGAGTTCCTCCATCAAGTGTGGTTGGGTTAGTGCTCTCTGTGTTGTATTTCGGAATCTTGCTTTTCTCTTGTGTATGTTGAAGCCGATTGATTCAGAGGCTGCTGCTACACTAGTTGTCTTGACCTGCATTTGTTGATGTATATGGGGTAGTAGAGTCAGGTCATCTGTAAAGTTCAAATCGTCTAGTCGCATCTAAACTGTCCATTGTATTTCGTGCTTCCACTCCGATGTTGAGGTCTTCATAATCCAGTCAACCACTTGAAAAAAGAGAATGGAAGAGAGTGAGCAGCGTTGTCTGATTCGAGTCCTCACTTGAACTGAGTCTGTCAGCTGTCCTCCATGCATCATTTTGCGGTGTAGCCCGTCGTATAAACTCCATTTGATGTTGATGATCATTTCAGGTACACCATAGTTTCGAAGGAGGTTCCATAAGGTCCTCCTATCCACACTGTCGAATGCTTTCTTATAGTCAACGAAGTTGATGTATAGTGACGAGTTCCATCCAATTGATTGTCCAATGACGATCTGTAGTGTCGCGATTCGGTCTGTGCAAGACATCCTTACGGAATTCATCTTGTCGACCTCGAAATTGAACATCTACCGAATCTTTCGTTCAGTTCAGCAACACTCTGTTGAAAACTTTTTTTGGTACTGATAGTTATTTGATGCCTCTGTAGTCGCACATTTGCTCAGATCTCCTTTCTTTGATATATTGATGAGGTATCCTCCTTTCCAATCCGTTGACACTTGTTCTTCCTCCCTAATCTTCCTGTATAGAACGTGAAGCATGTCCGCAGTTACTTTTATTTTTGACTTCAGTACTTCGGATGGTATATTGTCAGGTCCTTCTGCTTTCCCACTCTTGATTTATCTCATGACCATACTAATTTTTTCGGTCGTTGATGGAGTGATAGCTATAAGAATGTCTGTGTGTGTTGCTCCGAAGTCGATTGGATTCAATGGAGCTAATCTATTCAGGATTAATTCAAAGTGTTCTACCCACCCTTTCCTCTGTTCTTGAATCTCAGTGTTTGACTCGCCTTCTTTATCATCGACAAATCTCTCTGGTTTGCTATATTTTCCTGTCAGTCACTTTGTTGTGACATATAGTTTATTGATATTTCCTTCTCTTGCAGCTTTCTCCGTCGTCGTTGTTAGGTCTTCCACATATTTCCGCTTGTCGGCTCTAATGCTCCTCTTCACTTACTTGTTTGCTTCTATGTATACAGTTTGTGTCTTGATTGTCTATTGTTAATTGCTGTCTTCTTGTTCTTCCTCTCTTTAATCTTCCCAACGGTTTGCATAGTGATCCATTCTTTGTGATGGTGCTTCTTGCAGCCAAGAACCTCCTGACATGTTGAGGTTAGTGCTTCTTTGATCCCTTTCCAGTTGTCCTCCATAGTAATTCCTTCTTCTTTGAATAGATCTTGTAAGGCTTTGAACCTGTTGTTGTGAACTATCTTGAATTCTTTGAGTTTATTTGTATTTCGAAAGAAGGCTGTATTAAACCTTTTTAATGCAATTTGCCCAGTGCGTCTTTAGCTTTAGTTTGATCCTGGCAACCACCATGAGGTGGTGATATGAAGCCATGTCAACTCCTCCCCTAGTGATGCAAACATGGTCTATCTTGTTCTCTGTAGTGTGGTCCGGTGAGATCCATGTAGCTTTGTACGTTTTTGGGGGAATATAGTACTGCTTATAATTATTTTGTTGAAGACACGTAAATTTGCAAATTTCTTACCACTTATGTTCATTTCTCGCAATCTATGTCGTCCTATAATATCTTGACAACCGGTGTTGTCCATTCCGACTTTGGCGTCTCATAAGGATGTTCAAATCCTTTCTTGGGCACTCCTCTACAATCGAGTTACATTGCCTAGTGCAGTTTGGATAACCTGACTTTAAAGATGTCATTCGCGGAGTTGTTGATAGACGGTCTCTAAATCCAAACTAATATGATAATACATCTCTTATCAACATTCTATTTGAATTTACGAATCTGTTTATAATTATCAACTAGTTTGTTTACTTCCTCATATTTTTCACAAATTTTTAGGTGAGTATTTTCTTTCCACCAGTGAAAACATTACGCCCATTTGTTGATCGTATGAAAAAATTTGCAAAGTTTATTGTAAGTAATTAATATCTTTATTATTGTTTCTGTGAAACAGAAATACAGTAATGCGCCTCATTTATTATAAGTCTTCTTCGTCTTAGTACTCCTAGAAACTATTTCACTTGACTGATTCCCAAATCGAAACACAACTTGTAGTGAGGAATGTAAATATTCCATAAAGCAAACACCGTTCATGTGGATCTATAAACTTTATATAAAAATTTTTTAGTTGCTTGGTTATAAATTTACCATTTATCGCATTCCGACGTCATCTAGTCTCGAGCATATTCTTGTCAAGTATGTGTTATATTGACGTTTACCAACTACAAATCCGTGTGTGATTGTGACAAATCAACACGAAACTCTAGACCTAAGTTTTGTAGTGTCCTCTCCTCGTCATCAAGGTGCACCTGTATTCTTGGGTGAACTAAGCTCTCTCCCAGATTCGATCCCGTGTCACATCTTCACGATCAGAGAAGTTGCCATTGAGCTATTCTGCTAGCAACTGGCTTCCTGTAGAACTGAGATGTATTTACAATTTTTATCGTCACTGAATGATAGAAACAAATTCTAATGAGGATTCGTGTATTAAGCCTTAAAGCGTAGTTTTTATGTGCTATATTAATAAGTGATATTGTGGTGTGTGCTACTTATATCAATATAAGTAGTATATAACGCTAGTCAGCAATAGGATGTGTAGCAGCAGAAGGTTGAGAAGATCGATGAGGGAAGAACGGGAACAGGAAACAATTGGTATGGAAATGCAGGAACAATGAAGTGTAAGACAATTAATGGACATTTTGCAAATGAAGTATTGGAATATGTTTTTTATCGGTTGTCCCCACCTGTGTCCTCCTCCACTTCAATATCACTTGGTTTCCCACACCTGCGTCCTGGTGGTTGAATGTCTCAACCAGCAGAGCACTACTTCACAACAAAAACCTCATTCCTGTTGACCAGATCAAGATATGGTATCAGTCAGTTGTACTTTCTACTGAATTGAGTTCAGTATATAAAAATGAAGACCAGTTGGTTAGGGCTCACGATTCACTTCATGATTGTAGATGTTCAGAGAAATCATTCGAAATCGGTTATGGTGTCTCACATAATTTGAGAGAATGTAGAGCGAGTGGATAACGCGATGGCGTTTGAAGCGAAAGCTACAGGGTTCGAGTCCCAGAGTGAACATCAACTCTGAGATGCAGGTACATCCAGCTGACGAGTGCCAAATAGGACGAAACGCGCGTCAAACTGGATTCCACTGTTAGCCACTATCCATCACTGCTTACCATGCTTGTAAATTAAGGCTAAATCGAGGCAATACGCACTGTATGCACATATGCCAATTAGAGACTGACCAGTTGCAGTCTTAACACAACGATGGGAAGATTCAAACAAACAATATTAATTGAATGTAGATATTGGCATCAAGATTCTATGTGAGTTTTCAAATTCATAGTTTATTTCATTTACATATCTCTTATATTCATTTCTTTATAAAGATTATCAGTGCAAATGGTTCAGGTGAATTAAATTTTGCTGTTAATGTTGAAACGTTAGCTTCTGTTAAGTTAACATTTCGAGGTTTAAAAGCACGTAGTTGGATGAATACAGAATCATTTTCAACTGAAATTAACGATTCAATGGATGAAGCTCGTAGTACTATTTGGGATTCAAACAATGTTGATTTGGATAGTTCAAAACAGCTAAATAATGAAGATCCAAATAAAAAATTAGTGTCAATTAGTTTAGACTTACGACGTATTGGTCAGTTATTATCAAGTCCAAGAATTGTACCATCTTGTTTTGTTTGTAGTAAGTTTTTTTCCTTATTTTCATCCAATACAACTGTTATATCCGAATGCATATTGATATACTAAAGTGGAAATACAGTTTCGTTTGTTTTCTAAATTAAACGTATCCTCGAAATAAGTGAAGTCGTACATGAACTCAGTAGTTAATCATTTTTCTGACTGAACACTTGAATCAGTTTCCTAAGCACTTCTTATAACCTCTAGGTTAAATCTACACATTTTGAACGAGAAAAGGCGCGAAATATGTAAAGAGCGGTCTACTCCAGGATTAGTTTATGTACAGAAAGTCGAGGGAATTTATAGCATCTCAAACGGCCTTGGGTTTCTAGAAGGTACTGAAACCCTACTAAACATAGTAGCAGGATAGGTAATCACCCAATCAGAAATATGACACATGACTCCAACTTCAACATGTTCCTGAAAAACTTCTACTCAATGCTGATTAGATAAGATGTTTCCCAGTGTCTTTTGGGGCTTTTTTGAGGAATAATCTGGATCTGCCTAACAGTGGTGAAGCAAACTCCTTAAATCACCTTTTCATAATTATAATGTAGCTTCATAGCTGTCCCCTGACGTATATATATATATATATATGATGTTGTCAACCGCGATGGAGATCGTATTTCTTTTGTTTAGATTCTACAATGTAACAAATGTCGTAGAATGTATCCCTATCCTTTATTCAAAGCGCTAAAGGATTATGCTGTCATTCACCTTAATAGTTTTGCATTGTTGATGTGTGATAACCCAATCTATGCCAGAAACAGTGGCATTTGAAGCCACAGATTAAGGTATTTCATTGTCAGATATTTCATTGTCTAAATCAACATTAAAATCTAGGTACACTTAACTGACAAGTTCCAAACAAGACGAAATACCGATATCAAATCCCACTTATAGCCACTACTCAACTTCACTAAAGTTTCCTTCTGTACTGAAAACTAACCACCGTTAATCGTTGTAGCATTTTAAAAACTTTGAAGAAAAAACGAATGTTACTATGTGAATGTTTTTGCCTGCGCAATAAATTAAGACGATCGTATTCTAACTTGTGGCCGAGTGGTTGTCCTGTTAATGTATAATAACGTGATAATACTGCCAATTAGAGAGGAGCGATTTATCGATCGGACCAATGACACACGAAACCCGTACGAGCACTATAGAGTACTTATCGGTCCCGCTTCCTGACTAGCCCAGCCAATTAAGTCCAGAACACTAATAACAGCCTCTGCAATATGAATCATTTGTTTCAAACATACTGGGTTTGTATACCAAACAGACAGACCATATCGACCCATAAAATAGGCAACAACATTTGTACATGATTTAGACGAATGTGGCTGTGAATGAGGGAGATGGTAGTTGATAGACAGCACATAACTCAAGAATGGTAAATCGTATAATAATAGTTCATAGATCAAAATAAGTCTTATGATAAGTGGAACATGAACATGAATCGTTTAGTTGTCTAGCAATTATAAGATAAAAAATATATGCATGTTATGGGTTCACAAATGGATCCCAAAATTATCATTCATTATTCTCATCGGGATACAACAGATCTTCATGTCAAAAACAAAAAAATGTTAGTTTGTTGTCTTTATGGAAACATTTACTACAGTGTCAAGGCATTTATTCAATAGATATGTTAATTATCAGAAGAGGTTTTGCGGAGATTTAGTATTTTCATAGTTGAAATCATGAGTCAATTGAAGCTAGACCACCATGAGAAAACCTGGAAGCACTGCTTGACGGCCGTTACGTCCTATTGTGGGACTCCTCAGCAGTGCGCATCCACGAGTCCCATAATAGGACGAAGCGGCTGTCAAACAGTGCTTCCACGTTTTCCATGGTGATCTAACTTCAATTGACTCACGCTATCAATAGATATGTATTTATTAAATATACTTTAATTTGACAATAGTTTTCAAGTTATTTCCTGAATTTTTTTGTTCTTCTTACAGATATTATTCATGAAAAGTTAGCACAATTCTTAGTGTTATTTGACAATCATAAATTGAAATACAATATACCTGCAACTAATCTATAAATAAATAATTATCTTTCATAATCTTTTTTTATTGTGAATAACCTCACTATTTGCGATGAATTAGTCATTAATCCTTTGAATTTTATGTAATTAGATGCTTTGTTTGTTATATTGGGCAGTAAAGTTAATTATTAATATTATATGAATGCTCTGGTACGGCCGAGGGTACAGAGATTCAGCTCTCCCTCTCAAAATACTCCCACATGGCCACGCTTATACAACCAGGAAAGTCCTACTCACTTTCATCTAGCGACGATGTTGTTTACGAAATTCAGAGGACGAAAAGCAAATGTCCCACGATTTAATCAGGATGTTGGATATAAAGGATCCACCTAGGTGAGTCGGAGAAACAAGATTTCAAACCAATGGTACACATGGACTCCAGAATCCCGAAGAGACAAATAGCGTATGAACCTATTGTTAGTCACCGCATACCATGGGACTGTATCTCCTAACGTTGCTCCACTGCCTTGTAGATTAAACTTTTATATCAAAGGCTCGGAGTGTGCCCTCCTCAGGAAACCACACTAACAAAAATCGAATGATTTGTGTAGCAAATATATATTTGGTGCCTCCTTGTACCAATGTTTGTGTTTAAATAAATGTTATTATAACTAATTGATTATCAAATCTCCTAGTAAATTATGAAGTATGAGAAACACCTTAAAGTTTACACTTCAGCTTTGTTTTGTCGTGTATCCAGATATTAAGTTTCAAATCATATGTCTGGATTTTTAAGACATTAACTGTTATATCCTAGCGAAGATATAAGTACAGGTAGCTTCCGGGACCTATTAGTGGACGATTATTCCATAAATATATTCTTATTGTATACCTATTAAGTAATTAGATTGTATATATCTATATTCATCTTATTATAAGCCTCATTTTGACCTGTGGATTATTATTATACGATTTACTGCCCCTAAAGTATATTCAGTTTATTGATTATTGTCTCTTACGTTAACAGCCACATTCGGCTTGATTTGTACAAATATTATATATATATATAAACGGAGTATGCTTGAAATAAATGACCCACATAGCAGAAGCTGTAATTGGTGTTCTGGACTCAGTTGAACGGGCTAGGCGGACAAGGAACGAATAAGGACACTAGACTGCACACACTGGTCGAACGTCATTAATTTGTCACAGTGTTAAGATCGAGAAAGTCGTATTTGGATTGGTGGATAATTCATGTGATAAAAAGTCGGGCATAAAAACCAATAACGAATTAGCATACGTCCTATTTTTTTTTATAAAGTCATAACAACAACTGGTCATTATAATAATAACTTTGGGTATAAAGTGACTATCCAAGTGAATTTTGGGTTTTCTTTTAGTGAATCATGAGATACATTCTTTATTATTCATACAAAGATGTATAGTTTGTAGTCGCGTGATTTCATTGATTCAAATACGCTATGATTCATGCTTATGCTCTATTTCACATTGTTAATTATTCGAAGCAAACAACCTCTCTGATTACAACTGCTATGTCAAAGAAAGTGATAAAAGACAGAATTTATCAATGTCATCATTTCTCTTTAATTTCACGGTTCACGATAATTTGGTAGTAGCTTTGAACAAATTATGTGGTGGTAGGGTAGATTTGTCATCTTACTGTACAGTAATATACGGAATATCATTAAATATTATCTACTTGAACACATAAATATTGGTACAAGGGAGCACCAGATATATATGCGCCACACTTATTGTGTGAGGGCCATTGTACTACCCGGGTGCCCAGACCGAAGCAGGTGATTTTCCTAGGAGGTCACACCCCGAGTCTTTGTGTTAGCGGGAAATAAACCGGATTAAGGCATGTTATGTGCATGATCGTGAAGGCTCACGCTGATTGCCTAATTTTAAAACAATCAGCTCTGGCAGATTATTGGAGAAGCATCTAGAAGCTTCTTATGCATATACTATAAATAGATGAACGTTTTTCTAACGATTGATTGCTGTTCACCTACCCTTGTTATTTTGAATACAATTTCGTTTCTGTTCAACGGGTTCTGATATTTGGGGTCTTGTCGAGTGTCATTGTATAAGAATACTAAGCAATAGGAATAGCTGGGTCGTTTATTAGCAAAACAATTATAACACTTTGACCTAAAGGTGCGACCAACAAAGCAGTAGAGCATCGTGAGATGCAGTCCCATGATAGCCGGTAACCAACAATCGGTTCATACGCTATTTGCTCCCTCAGGGTACTGGAGCCCATGTGCACCATTGGTTTGGAATCAGAGTTTCCCAACTCCCCTAGGTGTACCTACCGGCCCTGTCAAAGCGCCGGACATTCGCTTTTTATCCTCTCAATTTCGTAAACAACACCCGTGGTGCGAGAAGGCAGTGAGTAGGACTTCCCTGGCAGAGGCTATATACACGTGGCCATGTGACAGTATTTCGAGAGGGGGAGCGGACTCTCGGCCGTACCAGGGCATTTAGGGACACTCAGAATACCCTAATTGCATTTAGTTAGTTAGTAACCAAAATACGTGAATAAGTAGCTATTAGTGTCGAAGTAAAGATTACTTAAGAGACCTTTTTGTTTATATTTGTGTTATCAAGTGCTAATAGTGAGGCAGTGATCGTGATCGATCTACGTATATTGAAAGCTAGAGCAGGTTCTGCGAATCTGCATCTTCAATAATCTGACTAAAAGTCCAGTTTTACAACACCAAAGCGTTTTTAAAACTCGACCCTCACAATTTGAGGATTCTAAATAACTGTCAAATTATCATTGTCACTGAAGTGTTACTCACAAACTGTTAAACGCCGTAAAAAATGCTAACGTTCGAAATGAGTTATCTGGCGTAATCAAGATAACAATGTGTTTTCCTCCTGAAACACCAAACCAGGTGGCTGCTCCAGCAACAAATATACATATATTGACTCTAGGGTCATTTAGAAAATATAGTGTAGTAATTTCACGATATTACCGTGCGTTGACGAACAATTGAGTTGAGTTAGCATCTATTCGTTCAACATAATCCCTTTGTTTTCCACTACATTCTACAAAATTCTCTCTCTAATCCTTCTAATAAAAGCAATACAAAACTAGTTAAATAATTCTCATTGTTTTAAATAGAACATATAAAAACAAAATCAGAATGTTTAAATAAATAAAAAGTATACCGATGAAATCAGTGAATCGGAAATGCATTACTCGTACAAAAAAATATATATACCATTTCTATTTTATTGACTAGATGATTCCGAAACCCAAGATATTAAAGTCTAAAAGTCAAATAACGAGAAAGTAAACTGAAATGAACATGGATTAAGCGATTAAAAATGCAATGAGATTATTTATGAAAAATGACTTGAAATATGATTAATTCGTGTACCAGAGTGAGAAGTCCAATTTGTATAGAAGCTTCCTTGATAGAGACTGCGGAAGAATTCATTTCGCCCTGGTACAGCTGAGAGTGGGGAGAGTCACCTCTCCCTCTCGAAATGCTCTAATATAACCACGCGTATAGCCTCTGCTAGCGAAGTCCTACTCACTGCCTTCTCATGGCGGGGGTGTTGTTCACAAAAGTGAGAGGACGAAAAGCGAATGTCCGGCGCTCTAACCGGGTCGGTGGAAACTGAGGGTCTACCTAAGGGAGTTGAAAAACCCTGATTCTAAACCAATGGTGTATATGGGCTCCAGGATCCTGAGGGAACAAATGGCATATGAACCAGTCGTTGGTCACCGGCTATCATTGAACTGCATCTCCTTACGATGCTCTACTGCCTTGTGGATCAGACCTTAACGTCGAAGGCTCCGGGTGTGGCCCCTTAAGAAAAACATCTGCTTCAGTCTGGGCAGTATCACAGCCCTCACACAAATCAAATGAGATTTGTATGATGCATATATATCTGGTGCCCCTTTGTACCAATATTTGTCTTTAAATAAATATATCAATTCAATTAATTAAAGGCTTTTATCAACTGAGCAGTTGCTGTTGAACACGAAACCTCCATTTGATTAATCAATACGAGGAATAATGTACTGAAAATCAGATAATTACCTATAACTGAAAGTCAATGGATAAAATTCACTCTGAATACATTAAATATAACAAAAATGCATCGTAAGTCAACTGGATGACATTTACATTGAATGGATATGTGGATTTAAGATTACCTTTCTCTCTTAAACATAATATTGGAGGACATAGCATTCCGAGCAGAAGCTTATTCATTATAAAATGTTAGCATAATATGTATTTTGTACTAAATACAATAAGAAACAAGTGTTTATTCTATTGTGGTGTAGTCTACTTATATCCATATAAGTAGTATATGGTGATGGTCAGATATAGAATGTATTTCGGCAGAAGATCGATAAGGAAAGAAATGAAATAAAGCGCGATCGGTATGAAAATGCATGAACAAATGAAATCAGAGAAAATGGACTGGTATTTACAGAAGGAACAGTCAACATTGAGATGATTGATTGATAGTTTGCAAATTAACTGTTCACTGTATGGTTATCAAAATTTGGTGAGATAGTCTGTTCACTACACTATGATCGGTATAAGCTTGATGGGATTCGTCGACACTCGAGACAACAACACTTTATTTTTCAGGAAGAACAATACTGAAATTACACAATCTCCAAAAAATCTGAGTATCACAATAATAAACGTACGTATCTGTATCTGTTAATGACGACTAACCTTAGACAGCACATAACAAACTGTTATAATCACAAAGAAACCAGTTAATAATACATTACAGATTTATGAAGGCTAAAGAACTTCATTTAATTTTAAAACACTCCAAAAAAGACTTTCATAACTAGAGTTGGTGTCGAGACGCATAAAAGGTACTAGTACTTCTAGTGCTGCTTTTGAAAAAAAATTAACTCGATTAGTGAGTGATTGACATATTCTGGTTGCATACAACATGGACGAATATATCTTCATATGTATCTAAAAGGAGGGTAAGAATAGAACTAAAATTTCTGCCGACATAAAAGTGTGAATGTAGATCCAAGAAAATATCTATCTGAAACTAGTTAAACATGTGCATTTTGTTGGGCTAGCTTTATATATTTCGCGAACCTTATTCACGGCAAGATAAATTCATGAGGCAAGTGTGGTATTTCTAAGACCAACAGTTTATGATGTAGTTGTCAATATATCTGAAGAAAGTTGTAAAAGATTAATTTAGGATGGTAGCTCGATGATAAATACTTTCGATTATAAGTTTTGTCTGTGAACCTCGTTTCAAACGTTACGGGTTTGTACAGTTCTTACACTTGACAAGTGGCTCAAAGTGGATTAAGATGTTCTAAATGCGTTAATTTTTTTTATAAAAAAAAACCATTAATACCATGAACAATAGTCATTACTACATACCTGATCATCTGTATTACGACTGACACCCATTACATGTCCACCATTCAAAACAACACTTTGTTCATAACGCGAATCTAGCTTCGGTAAGACGATGCGTCCAGATCTTGTACGATTTAATTGTCTAACATCAACTACTTTACCTAAATATATAAGTATACAAAATAATGGGTAATTTTCTAAAGAATTTAAATTAACTAAATAAGAATGTTATTTGAGGGATGAGTGAGTAAAATGTTAGGGTGCTAAAGTATAATTTATAAAATTAAACCAGTGTTAGAATAGAGTGGATAACTAAAAATGTTAAGGCTATTCTCTGAAGTATAAACATACATATTTTTAATGTTTATTCATTAAAAAGTCCGATCGTGTTACTAACATCACGAACCGACCTAAGTTAGACATCCACGGAAAACTGGGAGGCTGTTTTTCCATAGTTTCACCATTTGCAAGTGAGACTGAAGGTCCTAGACTCGGTCCCTAGTGGCAAGGTCATCGATGTTAATGCTGAAGGGTTCTATGCTAGAATGAAACAACTGTCTAGTGCATCCTATATCCCAGTGGATATCTAACTCAAATCGGTTCGTGATGTAATTAACACTCAATAACCTCCACAAGTCAGTAAACTGATAATTACTTTGTGGTACTGTTATGTCCTCCTAATTTTAGGCTTTTATTCAACTGCTGTTATCTTTTACTGTTCATAAATTACTGTGAATTAATTGTAAACCTGTTACTCAGGTTTACCACACTACAATGTTACGTCTACATTTAGAAATGCAGTGCAAAGTTTACATGTGACATACATTCTCGTGAAGTTCTGAATGACTCGACTTTGATAAACTAATATATACCATACTAGGCTAATCTAAAATTATGTCTGATATGTTCCGTCCAACTTGTAACTGAACTGGAAGTGCAGAAAGACATATCTGGTAAGTTATATGTACATATACATTCTTATACCCTTTCTACGTAATGATAGTGAGCTCTTGTTCTAGTCTGTATAACTAGTTACCTATAAGAGTGTGAATGTATCGCGTGACAGATGCGGCGGGATCACAATTAAAAGCGCGAGTAAAAAAAATAGCGACCATTAAAATGGGGAATAAAGTTTCTTGGGATGTGGAATTTGTCCGTTTACCGTCAATCTCTATGCTTCTACTTTCTTTATACATGTTGTTTTTGGATTACTGTAACAAACTGTTCCATTTTTCATTCACTTAAAATCTGCTACGGTTCAAGAGAATCAACGATTTCCCACATGCTCGAGTGAGTAGCATCGATGAGTACCTAAATGGTCGATGATGTCTGCTGAAGGAGCAGGTAGAGAGAAATACAAGAGTAGGCAAATCAAGATGTGCCATCAGTCCACGAATTCATTGACTGTTGGTCTAATTCATGTAGGTGTCCGTAGGTCACTAGTATCCGATTACGGGTGTCTATGAAGCATCTCTCGTGTCAGTCAGTCAGTCAGCTACAACGTAGGAACACATTTATGCATCGGTCCAAGTTGCCATACGTCGTTAGCACAACAAGATGAACACCGGATTCATAGAAGTAATTAATGTAGTGGTGGTAGTAGTATATAAATTATAGGTTGTATATAAGGATATAGTATAGGAAGGAAGAGAGATATGAAGCAATTTTAGTCTCAAGGTTTAAAGGAAGATAAAGAGTGTATACACCTACGCCATTGTGATCGATTCTTAGCCATGTCATCTAGAGTCTCCAACCATTGGTTACGATAGTCACGCGGACCCCAACCAGGTAGTCTGCATCTGTCAACATGACTCAGACTAGAAGTTAGTGACTTTAAACACTGATGCCATGTTTTGGTTTGGCCGCCCCTAACTCTCTTCCAACAATCCCCTACACTAGTCATCATAGCGCGTCGTGGTAATCGGTGTTCAGGCATACGTAACACATGGCCCAACCATCTCAGTCGATGAAGATTCATCACCTCATCAACTGATTTACCATCGTTCCCTAATACCCTGCGTCTAACCTCACTATTACTTACCCGGTTATCCCAGCAGATGCGAGCAATATTTCTAAGGCATCTGTGGTCAAATACTAGTAACCTACGAGTATCTGCTACTCTTAATGGCCATGTTTCACAGCCGTAAAGTAGAACAGAGCGAACTGATGCGCAGTATACTCGTCCCTTAATTGATAGACGGATATCTCGTCTTTGCCATAGGTGACGTAAGTTGGCAAAAGCCAAACGAGCTTTTCGAATCCGCGCTGAGATTTCGTCAGACACCAACCCATTAGGGCTGATCAGACTTCCAAGATAAGTGAAGTTGTCAACGCGTTCGACTACTTCACTCCCTATCCTTAGTTCAGGTGTTGACGTAGGCCAGTCCTGGAGTAACAATTTACATTTGGATGGGGAGAAACGCATCCCAAACATCCTGGCATTATTACTGAGTTCCAACAGAAGACTCTGCATTTTGCCAGCGTCTTCACCAAACAGGACTATGTCATCTGCGTATTCTAAGTCGATTAGTGGTCCCCCTGGTAGGAGATCAATCCCTTAAAATTCAGTCGAAGAGAGTGTTATTTCCAGCAACAGGTCTATAATGAAGTTAAACAAAAATGGGGATAGTGGACAGCCTTGTCGGACACCACTTGAGGTTGTAAAATCATATGACAGTTCGCCATAGGCTCTCACTCGACTGGTAGTGTTCGAGTAAAGAGCCTTCACAAGGTTTATGTACTTCTCAGGTACACCTTTCAATGACAGACATTGCCACAGAACCTCTCGGTCTACAGAATCAAATGCTGCTTTCAAGTCAAGAAAAACTATCATTGTCGGACGCCGATAAGCGTGTCTGTGCTCTAAGACTTGACGAATGGTGAATATGTGGTCGATACAGCCACGACCAGGTCTGAAGCCAGCCTGATTTTCTGGTGTTTGTAGTTCACGAGTCTTAGTTAGGCGCCCGATAATTATTGAGGCTAGTATTTTAGATGCTATGTTGGTCAGACTAATCCCTCTATGGTTATCGCAGGATGATTTTGACCCCTTTTTATATATTGGGACAATCAGTGATTGTGACCAGTCGGATGGGATTACATCCGTCTCCCAGATTTTAGCCAGAATATTAGTCAACCTAATCGCTAAAATCGGATCACCATATTTAAAGACCTCTGGAGCCAATCCATCTGGACCAGCTGCTCTTCCTCGTTTCAGATTACCTATAGCCTTTTGAACTTCAAGTAGGGTCGGGGGGCCTACTTCAATGTTCCATTCAGGTTTTCTAGGAATAGTGGGTAGTTGTGCAGTAGCTGAAGGACAGCTAAACTGCTCCTTAAAGTGTTTCCGCCCATCGTTCTAAACGTTTGGGTTGAGAGCAGATAAGGGTTCCGTCTTTTTCCGAGATTGTCTCACTTACACTTGACTTCTTAATTCCGGTTTCTTTTATTAGTCTGAATAGTTGCCTGGTGTTGCCTACAGCCGCTGCCTTTTCCATCTCTTTTGCTTTCGTTGCCCACCACTGCTCACGATCGTTCCTTAGACTTTTAGTTAACCTATATCTAATTTCTTTACGCTCTTCGTCATGTTCAGAGCCTGATGGGATGAGTTTACGCGAATCCATTAGTAAAATAGACTTAGAAGAAATCCATTGGTTTTTTGGAGCCCTATGGTTTAAATGACTAATAGATGTTACTGCTGTTTCCACAGCTGTTCATATGTCTTTCCAAGCAGCATCTGTGTCAGTCTTGTTTACAGAACTGCCTAGATGTGAACTTAGTTGTTTCTGGAATTCGCATTTGGCTTTCTCATCCTCCAGTTCAATCCTAATGGGTCTTCTCAGTGTACTTTTCCTGCGTCCATTGAGGCGCAGACAAATGCGCGCTCGTATTAAAGCGTGATCAGAGTCTAAACAAGTATTCCAATACGAGCGACAATCTTCTATTGAGCCTCTCCAACGATGACTGATGACAATATGGTCTATTTGAGTCCATCGTTGGTTTGGTGCAGGTGGTCGCCATGTTAGGCGATGTCTCTCTTTGTGCTTAAAATTAGTGCTTTCCAAAAACAAACGATTGTCTGAGCATAGTTGCAACAGACGATCACCATTATCGGTTCGTTGAGCCGGAATACTAAATCACCCACCTAAATGTCTTTCTGTTTGATTCAAGCTGCCTACCTGGGCATTAAAGTCACCCGCTACGACTACTATGTCTGAGCGCTTAGCTTTCTGAAGAAGCTCAGAGAGCTTTCTGTAAAAGTCATCTTTCACTTCATCATGGCTGCAGTCAGTGGGAGCGTAGGCAGAAACGACGAAAAGGCAACGACGTGTGTCCCTATCCTTCCGAGTTCTTACGGAGCCATTTAGCCGGACAGCACACAGGCGACTGTTAACGGGGATCCATTCTAATAGTGCCTGTTCTGCCCTTGTACTTAGTGCTATGCCTACACCTGCAAGTCCACGAGAACTAGCCAACGGATCGCCAGATACACGGAGGGTGTATTTCGTTGGCTGTCCATTTTGGCGAGGTGAGGTCAAGTGAATGACCACACTAGGATCCTGTATGTGTGTTCCACAAACACAGCATACATCAATCGTACGAGATTCTAGGGTTTTAGCCAAGGAGGCCTGTTGACCGATTTGACTTAGGGTACGTACGTTGAAGGCTCCAATGTGTAGTTTGGAGCGAGGTTTTAGTAGACCTGGGACAGTGCTTCGCGCACTAGAATCGTTGGCCATGGTGACACTTGAGGAGGAAACCGGAACAGGAAGTTTAGTGTTGAAAGTCAAGGTAGAAGGAATAGTAGGAATTGAAGAAGATTGATTATGAATACGGTGGTCTTGAGTGCTGTTAGAGGTATGAGGGCAGTTATCACTTCCCGGTTGCCCACACCGTGGAAGGGTTCTCCTGGGAGTACCTGAAAAGGAAATTGGGTTAGAAGTGGTCTTAATGACCTGAGAGCGTGACCGCAGTGCCCAACGGACAACTGCTCGAGGTCGGTCACACACGACCTTTTTGTGGGTAGTTTTTGTGTTAGCTCCGTTCTTCAAAAAAACCTTACCGCCGGAGACGGATATCCGTGGGATAAGGCGAGGTGTGCATTTTTAGGGTCGACCTTTTCTAACCCCACCCCTCCTTGTGGGAACGCAGCATCGCTGTCATGCTGGTTGTCTGAAGGAAACACCTTGCTGCCGTCACACCTCTGTACAGTCGACAGTACGACTTCGCCTTCGGACCTTGGGATTGCTGCTTTTAGTCTCACCGCTCTTCAACCGACCTGTCTGGCATGGTAGGACCTCGAGGAACGATTGTTCCAGCCAGCATAGCTCGATTGCTTCATCACGATAGGCAAGCCCGACCACCACGTCAAGGTAGCAGCAACGGTGTACTCAGGGATCACTGAGTGAGAAATTCTGAGGTCGGTCATATGGTACTCGGTATACATGGCAAATCAAATGTTGAGATAGTGAATGTTTATCATCTGTATTGGTTGACACATGTGTTATGTGCGCCCAATCACCAAATACCTAGATGGTCGATGCTATCTGGTGAAGGCATAAGTTGAAAGTCAAGAGTAGTCAAATCAAAACCTGGTATCAATCTATGAAGTGATTGACTGTTGGTGTAAGCTATGTCGGTAGATACAGACTACATGGCTGGGGTCCACCTGATTGCCGTGACCAGTGGTTAGATACTTTGATTGACACGGTCTATGATAGTTTACCATGGCACACATTCAATTACTCTGCTTTTCTCTCAACACGGAATTCTCTTATTTCCTCATACATATCTTGGCTTTGTTTTGTTGAACCATGCTTTTAATGTTCTATATTTATTATCACTACTACCACTACTGCTACATTATTTGGATTTCTTTTGGAATTCGTGTTGTCAAATTCCTTTGGTGTTAATTTGTTAATAATGGTAAATCAAGTTAACGTATATCTTTGTCAAATGACGACACTGACCATGACTGGCCCCCAAATGCCCTGGTACGGCCGAGAGTGGGGAGAGTCCGCTCTCCCTTTCAAAATGCTCCCACATGGCCACGCGAATATATAGCCTCTGCCACACAAGTCCTACTCACTGCCTTATCGTGGCGGGGGTATTGTTCACAAAAGTGAGAGGACAAAAAGCGAATTTCCGACATTTTAACCGGGTTGGTGGATGTGGAAGATCCACCTCGGGGGGTTAGAAAACCCTGAATCCCAACCAACGGTGCACATGGGCTCCAGGATCCTGATGGAACGAATGGCATATGAACCAACTGTTGGTCACCGGCTACCATGTGACTGCATCTCCTTACGATGCTCCACTGCCTTATGGATCAGACCTTTAGGTCAAAGGCTCGGGGTGTGGCCCCCTAAGAAAACCACCTGCTTCAGTCTGGGCACCTGGACAGTATCACAGCCCTCACACAAATCGAATGAGATTTGTGAGGCGCATTTGTATCTGGTGCTTCCTTGTACCAATATTTATGTGTTTAAATAAAATAAAATAAATGACTGTTAGGGATGTTAGATCCTAAGAAAATCACTTGGTAAACATCTGATTTATGTAATTTCATTTCGGAGATTTTAATTTCTCTTTTTCACGACAAAAGTGCCAATTTTACTTTCGAATTGTATTTTTCATTTGAAAGGACCCTAAATGTCATTAGTTCGTTGCCTTTTAATATGCTATTTTGTGACATTTCCCAAGGACATTTTTATGCTGTATATATACGCTTGAATTGTTGGCCTGGTTATGGAATAAACTTTTCCCTTATCTGAACCAAGCCCTCTCTCCTTCTAGTTACCAGGACTAGGATGCATCGGAATAGTTTAGCTTATCTTGTCATTCCTGTCGTTGATCCTTCGTTCCGTTCGGCGATTTTATGTGATCTCATAATTTCTTTAAACACTGATTGATTGTGACCTATTATGAACCATATTACTTAACGTTATCAATTATAAACCACAATTCTTTTACAAATATCAACTATATAATAATTTAACATCCTCTATAAACTATTCAATTCGATAGTCAATAATTGACTTTATGAATCATGTTTGAATTTGACTTATCCAATAAATAATAAACAAACAGAAATGAACAGATCTACGCCAATTATTCACTCAAATATTATTCACTTTTGAATATGCATTATTCATGAGTCAATTGAAGCTAGACCACCATCGAAAACCTGGAAGCACTGGACGGCCGTTTCGTCCTATTATGGGACTCCTCAGCAGTGCGCATCCACGATCCCGCCTCGCGAGATTCCAACCCAGTACCTATCAGTCTCGCGCCAGACCACTGAGCTGGCCGGCATCCAATGGTGTTAATGTCTAACTTCAACCAATCCACAAAATTGAGCAACCATTCACCAATGTCATCAGTGAGTTGATAACTCCCAACAGACCTGGTTGAACTCCACTGGTTACTGCTTCTCACTAGAACTCCAGGAAATATCTCATGGAGCCAGTTACTAGTGAACACATGATCATTATCAGAAGGGGTTTTGTGGAGATTTTAGTAATTTTATAGAGTTGAGATCATGAGTCAATTGAAACTAGAACACCATGAGAAAACCTGGAAGCATTGGACAGCGGCGACTCATGATCTCAACTATTGAAATTATAATAATATTTACAAAACCCTATTCTGATATTCATTAGAAAAACAAAAAGAAAAGGACAGTATAAAAGAATAAAGTAATTGACATACCTGAAGCTGTATATAAACGATAACGTTCATCAATATTACTATTATCATCATCATCATCATTATTATTATCACTTTGATCATTTAATAAAGATGATTGATGATTTGTTAATAAATGACGTAATTGACTTTTATTGAAATGATTTTTTTGTTTTATAGATTTATTGATTTTATGATATTGATTATTATTATTATTATTATTGAATTTTTTCTTTTTTTTTAATTTTTTTGATAGATTATTAGTTATTAATTGGTTACTATCGGATACTGAAGTGAAATGAGAAAATGAATCCATTGATAAATTATTATTATTATTATTATGATTTTCTTTTGATTTATTATTAGGTGATTTATTATGAATATGATTAGGATTTGTTTGAATACCTTCTAAGAATAATAATAAAAACAAAATTGTAATGAAAAAAGAAAGAAAAAAAGAAAGAGGAGAAATAGTTTGTATTGAAGCTTATTAGAGAAATAAGTATCATTATGAATAGGTGTCAACAGTTAGAGAAAAGTGATGAAAATGAGAAAGACTAAATGATTGTTTCGTTCTTTGAAAATAGACAGATGAGAATATACTTTATTGATGAACAAATTGAATTTGTGATAGTGGTCACTAGATTTTGTACGAAATTCAAAATATGAAGGTATATTATTAAAAACAAAGTAAAACTTATAAATATCCCATTACTAAAACGCTTAAAATTGCTAAACATAAGAATGCTAAGGAATACAGACTATAGAGTTTCAGACAGATTGGTTGGTAAAGCCTTTTCTAGTGATTTTATTTATTTATTTAAACACATAAATATTGGTACAAGGAAGCACCAGATAAATATGCGCCTCACAAATCTCATTCGATTTGTGTGAGGGTTGTGATACTGCCCAAGTGCCCAGACTGAAGCAGGTGGATTTCTTATGAGGCAACACCCCGAGCCTTTGACCTAAAGGTCTGATCCACAAGGCAGTGGAGCATCGTGAGGAGATGCAGTCCCATGGTAGCTGTTGACCAATGACAGGTTCGTCTGCCATTCGTTCCATCAGGATACTGGAGCCCATGTGCACCATTGGTTAGGAATCAGGGATTTCCAACTCCCCTAGGTGGATCCTCCACATCCACCAACCCGGTTAAAGCGCCGGACATTCGCTTTTTGTCCTCTCACTTTTGTGAACAATACCCCCGCCACGATAAGGCAGTGAGTAGGACTTGTGTGGCAGAGGTTATATATTCGCGTGGCCATGTGGGAGCATTTTGAAAGGGAGAGCGGACTCTCCCCACTCTCGGCCGTACCAGGGCATTTGGGGGCCTACTGGTCTAGTGGCACTTCTGGGATGAATTATGTGAGTTTTCGAAGCTCACAAACCCTCTCTGTGGATGTGGTTTTGTGGGGATCCGCTGCCCCGCAGGTCTTGGAGGGGTGTCGCATCAATAACAGTAAGCGAATGATTATTTGAGGTTTTTACTTATCCTGAATAGGTATACTGTTATAACTTGTGACCGCCTGTTAATGTATGATCATACCGCCAATTAGAGAGGAGCGATTTATCGATCGGACCAATGACACATGAAACCCGTACGAGCACTATAGAGTACTTATCGGTCCCGCTTTCTGACTAGCCCAGCCAATTAAGTCCAGAACACTAATAACAGCCTCTGCAATATGAATCATTTGTTTCAAATATACTGGGTTTGTATACCAAACAGACAGACCATATCGACCCATAAAATAGGCAACAACATTTGTACATGATTTAGACGAATGTGGCTGTAAATGAGGGAGATGGTAGTTGATAGACAGCATATAACTCAAGAATGGTATGATAATAATCGTATAATAACAGTTCATAGGTCAAAATAAAGCTCATAATAAGGGGGAAATGAATATGAATAGTTTAGTTATTTAGCAATCATACAATAAAAATATATGTTTCATATTGGTCCATAAATAGTTCTCAAAAGTTACCATTCATAATTCTTATCGCGACATAACACATACTAGTTGAAACATGGGTCTTCATCCGTGTATCCCTTGGTATACATACAGGTGTATCTACCATGTGAGCGAATATGCATTACATGCACACCGGTAACACAAGTTTTATCCCACGCATCCCATAGCATACATATAGGCATACGCACGCACTTAGGAGGGTAGATGTTCACCGCTCCCTTTGAAATGTATTTGCTACAGCAGACTCTCTCACACATAATATGTATATCATTAGATATATGGCTGGCGTCCCACTATTTCACGACACATATAAACATAAACAATCTCTCAGGAAAGGTTGTTAGTCACCTCTCCCCAGTATTTGCCACCGTATCTTTTTATTGTCTTCAACCTGGGAAATTAGGTCGTTGATTTTGTTAGACATAGGGCAGAAGACAATGAAAGCGATCTTTCCTACTACTAACACTGATCCTGTTACTGTTTACACTACTCATGGATGTCTTGAAATAATTTTATCTCACTGGGTTAATGTAGTATGACAACTTGAACTGATGCTCCTATATACCAGGTTTTACGTTGCACATTACTGTCTGAGTATACAATCAATGAATATCATGGCCCATAAACCATTACCTAGATCAGGGACGATAAATTTTGTTCCTCCGTATTTTCACCATGATTGCTGGTTAGATAAGCGAATATGAATCGTCCGTATCTTGACGTCGGGGTTAGACGTCATGGAGTATAACACTCACTTGAGTCAGAAATATATTATTTCTACATAGCTTAAAGGGAATTAATTCTTTATAATATAGAAAACTGAATGCTCCAACAATCTATACACCAATGACAGCTTTTTGATCTTTACGGCTTACTGTCAGTCAGCTTCACTATTAGCCCCAAATATTTCGACAATATTTGTATCGTTCACAAGGTCAGAGGTTTTATGGTAGTGTGGTATGGGTTACTTATATCCACATAAGTAGTGCATGGTGATGCTCAGGCATATAATGTATTTTGGCAGAAAATCGATAGGGAACGAACCGGAACGAAGCGCAATCGGTATGAAAATGCATGAACAAGGAAATCAGAGGAGATGGATTGATATTTGCAGAAGGAACATTGAAGATTTAGACAATGGATTGTTATTTTGCAAATTAACTGTTTGCTGTATGGTTATCAGATTTTAGTGAGATAGTCTGTAATTTGTGCTTAAATACATTCGATTGTCCCCACTCATGTTATCATTCACTACAGTAGTATAATACCGGAAAATATATAGGATAATTGCTATTTGGTACCATAATTAAATATAACAATATGACAATGATCTTTATTTGTATACAACGATTGTTTAGATATCACTTCCGAACTCTAAACAAAACTATATTTTCACAGTTGAAATCATGAGTCAATTGAAACTAGACCACCATCGAAAACCTGGAAGCACTGCACGGTCGTTTCGTCCTATTATGGGACTCCTCAGCAGTGCGCATCCACGATCCCGCACCCCCGAGATTCGAACCCAGGAACTACCAGACTCGAGCCGAAGCCCATAACCGATAGACCACTGAGCCAGGATCCAATGGTGTTAATGTCTAACTTCAACCAATCCACGGTTTTGAGCGACCGTTCACCAATTGTCCTCAGTGAGATGATATCTCTACAACAGACCTGGTAGAACTCCACTGGCCACTGCTTCCCACTAGAACTCAAGGAAATATCTCTTGAAGTCAGTCACTAGTGAGCATATGATTATAGGCCCCCAAATGCCCTGGTACGGCCGAGAGAGGGGAGAGTCTGCTCTCCCTCTCGAAATACTCTCATATGGCCACGCAAATACATATAGCCTCTGCCACACAAGTCCTACTCACTGCCTTATCGCATCAAGGGTGTTGTTTACGAAGGTGAGTGGACGAAAAGCGAATGTCCGGCGCTATAACCGGATTGGTGGACACGGTGGGTCCACTTAGGGGAGTTGGAAAACCCTGATTCCAAACCAATGGTGCACATGGGCTCCAGTATCCTGATGGAACGAATGGCAGACAAACCTGTCATTGGTCAACAGCTACCATGGGACTGCATCTCCTCACGATGCTCCACTGCCTTGTGGATCAGACCTTTTGGTCAAAGGCTCCGGGTGTGGCACTCAAAGAAAACCACCTGCTTCGGTTTGGGCACCCGGGCAGTATCACAGCCCACACACAAATGAATGAAATGGTGAACTCTATTGACGATAATATCCCCGCTCATACTACAAGCAAGACAATTTACATTATTATAATTACCTTTATTATTATTATTATTATTATTATTATTATTATTATTATTATTATTATTATTTACCATATCGCTAACTCACCCCCTTTTATCCCCAATTTGTGTAACCTTACTTTTAAACTTATGCAGCAGCTCGCCCATGATGGAAAATCTGTCCCATCTAAACGATCTAAAGTCACTGTCTGGTTGAAAGTGAATGCTTCCACCGATTACGAATACTGAAGCAGTCTTTCTGAAACCACCCCTTGTTCCATTCAAGCAGTGGGGTTAGGCAGGGTTGTCCGATCTCACCATTCCTCTTCAACTTTGCCATCGACGACATCCTGGAAACAGCTCTGACGGATGTAAGTAATGGCGGTGTGGACATGTTGCCTGGAGAACGACTTCTCGACCTTGAGTATGCGGATGATATTGTCTTACTGTGCGATAATGCCCAAGGCATGCAATCCGCACTTAATCAGTTGGCAATCAGTGTCCGCAGGTACGGCATGTGCTTTGCACCCTCCAAGTGCAATGTACTCCTACAAGACTGGCAGGATTCTAATCCTGTACTCACCCTGGATGGTGAGCAGATTGAAGTAGTTGAGAAGTTCGTGTATCTAGGCAGCTACATAAGTGCTGGTGGTGGCGTGAGTAATGAGATTGATGCACGTATAATGAAAGCCAGAGCGGCTTATGCCAATCTGGGCCATCTTTGGCGCCTTCGTGATGTTAGTCTGGCTGTAAAAGGTCGGATCTACAACGCGTCGGTGAGAGCAGTTTTGCTCTATGCTTGTGAAACCTGGCCTCTCCGAGTTGAGGATGTTAGACGTCTCTCTGTGTTCGATCATCGTTGTCTCTGAAGCATTGCTGACATCCAGTGGCAACACCATGTTAGTAATGCAGAGGTTCGGCATCGTGTGTTGGGGCGCAGTGACGATAATTCAATTGGTGTCACCATCTTGAAACACCGACTTCGGTGGCTTGGACATGTTTTACGAATGTCGTCCCAGAGAATTTCACGTCGTGCATTATTTGCCGACTCTGGGACTGGTTGGAGAAAGCGGAGAGGAGGTCAGTGTATGACATGGTGTCGTGGCATGAAAGAAAGCTGCAAAGGGCTAGCTTTTGTTGGTCCTTCACGACTCCCTGGTTGGGGTCCTTGAGATGGTGCAACACAGTGGCTAGAGACGTTATCAGATATGGCTCAGAATAGAAGCCAGTTGCGATCCTGCTGCAACCTTCTTTTACTTTCTATACAAAGAATGGTTCTAACTTTCCTAACTGAAAGAGTCTTCTGGTTGTACATTTCAGTCCGCCTTATCTTTTCATCCCTTCTCTTCCTACTTTCATTATTTTGTGTGGCGCATATGTACCTGGTGCCCTTTTGTACCAATATATATGTGTTTAAATAAATAAATAAATATGATTATAGATCAGAGGGGGGTTTTGTGGAGAATTTTAGTATTTTCACAGTTGAAATCATGAGTCAATTGAAACTAGACCACGGTGGAAAACCTGGAAGCACTGGACGGCCGTTTCGTCCTATTATGGGACTCCTCAGCAGTGCGCATCCACGAAAAACTATATTTAACTATTACTACTGCAAGCTCAGGACTTTGGAAAAAAAGCATATTAATGCGTATTATAACATCTAACTCACTTGTCTTCACAGGATCATCAACCTCCAGATCTTTTTCCAAATCACGAAATGTATTTCCAACAAATGAATCTAGGTCTACATTACGATTGGTTGAATTTAGTATACGCTTGTATTGATTTTCCTGAAATTAACAAAAGTTCCGTTTTTTTATACTGATATGACAGTGAAATGCATTTTCTGCTATTGACCTGATAAGGAGTATTAAAAAACCAATAGATCTATTGGTAAGCAAAGATGGATGGTGTATAGCAGTGGAATCCAGGACGCGCGTTTCGCCCTATTTGGGACTTGTCAGCTGGATATACCTGCATTTCAGAGTTGATGTTCACTTCGATACTGGAACCCAGTACCTTTAGCTTCAAACGCCATCGCGTTATCCACTCGGCCACTGAGTCCTGATAGCCAATAGATCTATTATCAATAGGATAGAATCCTAACGATTGTATGCTCTGTACACGTTCAAATCTGAATATGTTGGTTAGCCTATTTTCAATCAAGCAAACTGAGAGATCAATGAAGATTCCCCCATGTGAATTTTGTGCAAACCGTAATGTTTTCACTGTTATATATTTGCTATACCAGTTTTTCGAAGTATTTCTTATTTCCACTTATTCTTGTTCTGATTTAAATCAAGCTGATCAGATTGGTCAAAGAATATTAGACAAGCAAGAAAGTAATATCAGAAGAGGTTTTGTGAAGAATTAGTATTTTCATAGTTGACAAAACAGCCGTCTAATGCTTCCAGGTTTTCTCTGGTGGTTTAGCTTCAATTGACCCACACGCTTTCAACTAAGAAAGTAATACTTATCAACAATTGTATTACCAATAAGCCTAAACGGTAGCACTAAAAATGATACCCAACTAATTTAATCTATTCTTATTAATAATTAACTTGAAATTTGGTAAATTGAAGATAGAATCCAATTACTTCTTTTACAAAAAGAAGTGTTCCAGGACGAACAAAAGACTATTTGATTGCATTTAATGAAAAAAGCATTTAACAGTAAAAACTGATGAGTTGATGCTGCACAAAGTTTTCATAAGGTTAGATTTAATTCTATAACTCAAATGAGATATAACACTGAAAGATTTGAAATACATAAGAACTAAAACAACCCATTATTCAAGATCAACAAATATATGAAATAATAACTTATGGAAATGAATAACACGACACCTGACACAAGTGTATGTCAGTTCAGGTTGTCACACTTAATATGGGCACAACATTAAGAGATCATCAATCGGAAGGGTGATTAAAAAACTAAAGAGAAACAAAATGTTAAAAGGAAGAGTATCATCTCCAAAATCCGGAGTAAAAATAAAGAACGAATGCAACCAATTTTGATCTATACAATTTAGTCTTCAACAAGAGTACAGTTATTTTGTAGAGCTCACTAGCCTATATGAATCGAACTACTAGCAAAGAGTTCAGTGAAATAGCAATGTTGTTTCAATATGATTACCGTCAATTCTTCCTACCGTAATAAACTTGGTTAGGACATTCACAGAGGATAATATGTTAATGATATCTCTTTAATTTTCTGCCTGGATTTATTTATCTATTTAAACTCATAAACACTGGTACGAAGAGGCACTAAATATATTTGTGTGAGTACTGGAATACTGCCCGATTGCCCAAACCGAAGCAGGCGGTTTACTTAGGAGGACACACCCCGAGCCTTCGACCTAAAAGTCTAATCTACAAGGTAGTGGAGCAGCGTTAAGAAATGCAGTCCCATGGTATGCGGTGACTAACAATAGGTTCATACGCCATTTGTCTCGTCGGGATCCTGGAGTTCATGTACACCATTGGTTTAGAATCAGGGTTTCCCAACTCCTCTAGCTGGGTTCTCCAGATTCACCAACCCAGTTAAAGCGCCGAACATTCGCTTTCCGTCCTCTGAATTTCCTAAACAACACCCCCTCCGCGAGAAGGCAGTGAGTAGGACTTCCCTGATAGTGGCTGTATACGCGTGGCCATGTGGGAGTATTTTGAGAGGAAGAGCTGACTCTCTGTACCCTCGGCCGTACCAAAGCATTTGGGGGCAATGAACGCCATAAATATTACTGTTGCCTCTCAATTTGACTTTGCGTGTCGATTTAGGATTAAAATCGCATGTTAAGACCACTACTTCCGAGCATCTGGCTTTATGGAGGATATCATAGTTTTCCGTGAAACTAGTATTTCTCTATCCAAGCCGTGGTCAGTGGAGACAGAAGCAGAAACGACGGGGTGTATCCTTATCAATCCAAGTAATTACTATGCAATTGAATAGAAAAGCACATGAGTGACTTTCAATAGGAATCTAGTCTAAGAGTGTTTGTTCAGTTTTCAAATTTAGTGGTTTACCTACAACTGCAAGACCGCGAAAAGTTTTGTCGTATTTCCAGATATACAAAGGATACATTGCACTGGTTCAGTGATGTTAGGTGAATCAGCGAACTAGGATCTCCTATGTGTATTTCGGACACACTAAATAAATCGATCGTATAAGATTAATGTCATAGCTAGAGACACATTACTACTAATACACCTTACTACCCTGTGCAGTTATCACTACAACTTCACCCTCGGACCTAAAGTTGCCGTCTTACCACTCTCAAGCCAACGTGCCTGGTATGGCAAGAACTGGAGGAATGAATGTTCCAGCCAAAATAACCCCATTGGGTTATCGTGATATCTAAGCCCGACATTCAAGTCAAGGTAGCAGCTATGATAGGGCAACATCTAGACAAAATAGAATAGACTATAGTCACAACTAAACAAATTCCAAATGTTAACTATATGAGGTGAAACTCATCATTTGATTGAAAAACAACATACCAAAAGGAATTCACACATACCAAAACCTCAATACGGGACGATTAGTTGCGAAAACTCACTTCGGCAAAGTCAATGAAGTTGACATAAATTTTTGAAGTGAACTATTGAGAAAACTGAGTCAAATTGGATCAATTAACAACAATGACAGCACGAAATATGAAATAATTGCTAATGAAGAAAGCAAACAATGATTTACCTTTGGCAATCTATTAGCACAAATAGAATTTGGCATATTTATATGTTGTACATCAGAACTAACGACTACAGGTTCCTTAATTCCTTCAGAAGCAGTAGATAAAAAGTAGTGCAGTCCTTGGGTCCAACTCCTCCAATTATGTGCAGGAAAACCATTAGAAAATGCATCAACTATTCCAGGAGGAGGTGAATCAATTAACAGCATGGGATGAAGTGCACAAAATGTTGTCCAAGAAAATCCTCCACGTAAGTAATATTTATTATTATCCTCTGTGCATACAATCTGGCCACTTTCTGAAACACATGACACACGATTAGTTACTAGAAATCTACAAGACATTTGATTTGGTTTTCTTTCGATTCCAGCAAGACAACAATCCCCATCTACTTGTAGTCCAACAGGACACCATGAATATAGTTCAGACGATACTGAACACAGCATATTTAAACCATTAGGAGTAGGTTTTGATAACTTGGGTGTTCTACTGAAAAAGTAATGTCACAGATTGCCAATATACCTACCAATATATATCGAAACTCCGAGAAATAATGTCCGGATTTTCATTAAGTTTAGGTAACAGTACGATAGGGGTTTGAGCAACGTAATCATTTTTCGCAGGAGGAAGACTGGTTAAACATTCTGAACAGCCTGGTACTGGATGAAATTTCCCAGATGGAACAGACGACATATTGAGAATACTTTGTTTATCTGTTAGTCATTCAATTAATCAGAATTCACAATTACTTTGTTCAAGAAAGCTAAGAAAATCACGTACAGCTTTCAACATAGATTCTAAAGTTTCCATGGCTCTGCTTGAACTGATGGAAAGTGTTTTTTGAATGCTTTGTCCAAATATGTTGGAGACAAGTCACATGCAGCTGACAAGTCTAAAAGCCCTAGAAAAGACCCAATAAAATATTCAAAATAAAAGGTATGTGTATACAATTAGGTAGTGCAATGAGGAACTACCTAATTAATGGCTTTACAATGCAACACAAATATTTTATATAAGAGATTTCGTCTAAATTTGATAGAATAGTTTCATAGTATTTGGCCCCCTGTTTTCGAGGAGATTTGTCCAGACAAACAGAAGGCGTAGCTATAGGATCACCGGTTTCTCCAATTATTGCTAAATTATTCATTCATTCATTGGAAACAAGTGCAGTCTCAATGTGTTTCCTTCCACCAAAAGTTTGGTTAAGATAGGTAGATGACACTTTTGTCATTATAAAACGAGATGGTTTAGACGAACTATTTAAACATGTCAACAGCATTTATGACAAAATCAAGTTCAATAAGGAGTTGGAATCTCCTAAACGCAAATCACCTTTTCTAGACTGTTTAGTTGAAAGGAAATATAATGGCTGTTTAAAAACTAGTATTTTCCGAAAGCCAACATATTCAGGGAAATTTCTAGGTTTTAAGTCAGCACATTCACACTCTACCAAAGTGACAGTAGCCAAAACTTTGATCAACAGATTTCAAAAACTTGTCACTGAACCAAATGATATAGAACTGTAAATGAATTTAATTATATCCACTCTAATGGCGAATAATTATCCGAGGGATTTTATGGAAAGAATAATTAAGAACGAAGGACAAAACGATATTATTAAGAAATAGTACTGTCAGGAGTTATCGTCATTTCATTTATTTGTGTGTGGGCCATGTCCACCGACTCGGTTAGAGCGCCAGACATTCGCTTTTCGTCCTCTGAATCTCGTAAACAACACACCCGTACCAGGGCATTGGGGGGTTACAAAGAATGGGTTAACACAGTGGTGCTCCCATATCGTAAAGACATTTCAGGAGAGATTAGAAGGATCTTAACTCTTCAAAACACAAGAGTACTCTTTTGAACAAGCAATACTCTAAGGTAAAAACTAGTAAGAATCAAAGATCCAATACACAAGGAGGAATAACAGAATTGTGTTTATAAAATCAAATGTAGTGACTGTAATGCCAAATATGTAGGTGAAACATTAAGACAACGGAATGTCAGGGTGAAGGGTCACAAACTATACTTAAAGCACATTCCTAAATCCTCAGATGACATAAGAAAACTCGAGAACAAATCACAGATATCGTTATACCAGATAGAATCGGGTCATACAATTGATTTCAATGGCAAAAGAACCCTTCAAAAAGGATTTATTTCTTACAAAGAAAGACTAACAGCTGAAGTCCTGTACGTATGGGAAAATCCAAACGGTATTAATAGGAGAAATGGAATACAAGTAGCTGTCCCATGGCAATTAGTGATTAATAAGTAAACCTGAACTCATTCAATTTTATCTCTTATTATATAAATAACAGCAATTACATTCAACGGTTTTGATCAGTTGTCTCATAAGAATATGTTAAACAATTAACTGGAACGTCATAATAAAACAAACATTCAGCTAAAAATACATTCTTCCTCTTTGAATCCATTCCCTTAACTTGTTTATTTATCGTCATTTTATGCATGCTGTGATATTTTTGATTCATATAATATATAATTTTCTTAAAATTCACCGACTAGAGAAATTGCTTCTCATACCACTTGATGCCCCCAAATTTCCTGGTACGGCCGAGAGTGGGGAGAGTCTGCTCTCCCTCTCGAAATACTCTCACATGGCCACGCAAATACATATAGCCTCTGCCACACAAGTCCTACTCACTGCCTTATCGTGGCGGGGGTATTGTTCACAAAAGTGAGAGGACGAAAAGCGGATGTCCGACACTTTAACCGGGTTGGTGGACACGGCGAGTTCACCTAGGGGAGTTGGAAAACCCTGATTCCCAACCAACGGTGCACATGGGCTCCAGTATCCTGATGGAACGAATGGCGAATGAACCTTCTACTGGTCAACGGCTACCATGGGACTGCATCTCCTCACGATGCTCCACTGCCTTGTGGATCAGACCTTTAGGTCAAAGGCTCGGGGTGTGGCCCCCTAAGAAAACCACCTGCTTCGGTTTGGGCACCCGGGCAGTATCACAGCCCAAACACAAATCAAATGAGATTTGTATGGCGCATTTGTATCTGGTGCTTCCTTGTACCAATATTTGAGTTTAAATAAATAAATAAATAAATAATACCTCTAGAAGAACCCTTCCACGGTGTGAGCAACCGGAAAGTGATAACTGCCCTCATACCTCTAACAGCACTCAAGAACACTATTCATAATCAATCTCCTTCTTCACTTCCTACTATTCCTTCTACATCGATTTTCATTAAACTTCCTCTTTCGGTTTCCTCCTTAAGTGTCACCATGGCCAACAATTCTAGTGCGCGAAGCACTGTCCCAGGTCTACTAAAACCTCGCTCCAAACTACACATTGGAGCCTTCAACGTACGTACCCTAAGTCAAATCGGTCAACAGGCCCCCTTGGCTAAAACCCTAGAATCTCGTACGATTGATGTATGCTGTGTTTGTGGAACACACATACAGGATCCTAGTGTGGTCATTCACTTGACCTCACCCCGTCAAAATGGACAGTCGATGAGATACACCCTCCATGTATCTGGCGTCCCCATGACTAGTTCTCGTGGACTTGCAGGTGTAGGCATAGCACTTAGCACAAGGGCAGAACAAGCACTACTAGAATGGATCCCCGTTAACAGTCGTCTGTGTGTTGTCCGGCTAAATAGCTCCGTAAAAACTCGGAAGGATAGGGACACACGTCGTTGCCTTTTCGTCTTTTCTGCCTACGCTCCCACTGACTGCAGCCCGGATGAAGTGAAAGATTACATTTACAGAAAGCTCTCTGAACTCATTCAAAAAGCTAAGTGGTCGGACATAGTACTCGTAACGGGTGACTTTAATGCCCAGGTAGGCAGCTTAAATCAAACAGAAAGACATTTAGGTGGGTGTTTTAGTATTCCGGCTCAACGAACAGATAATAGTGATCGTCTGTTGCAACTATGCTCAGACAATCGTTTGTTTTTGGAAAGCACTAATTTTAAGCACAAAGAGAGACATCGCCTAACATGGCGGCCACCTGTACCAAACCAACGGTGAACTCAAATAGACCATATTGCCACCAGCCATCGTTGGAGAGGCTCGATAGAAGACTGTTGCTCGTATTAGAACAAGGTTAGATTTCAGTCACTAGTGAAGATGTTACCTCGTGAAACACTTTTCAACCATCAATTAATTACAGTCAATCAAGGACCTATGGCTGTTACATTTTTAAGTAAAACAGTTAGAAATCTGGGGATTAGTTTATACTATCAACCGCATACGTATTTAGGCCAATGTAATGTAACTCACTTATCAAGTACAAATTTTTGTACTCGGCTTTAGATTACATATGGTGAATGAAATGGAACACTCAGCTGACAATTATATTCTCGTTCATACAAGAAACAATTCAATTTGCACTATTATTATTATTATTATTATTATTATTATTATTATTATTATTATTATTATTATTTACCATATCGCTAATTCACCCCCTTTTATCCCCAATTTGTGTAACCTTACTTTTCACCTTATGCAGCAGCTTGCTCTCGGTGGAAAATCTGTCCTATCTAAACGATCTAAAGTCACTGTCTGGTTGAAAGTGAATGCTTCCACCGATTATGAATACTGAAGCAGTCTTTCTGAAACCACGTACGCCGTTCAAGCTGGCTCCCTTCAACGTTCGCACACTAATGCATATCAGACAACAGATAGGGCTGGCTATGTCTTTAGAAGGTCTTAATGTTGACGTTTGTTGTCTATCCGAGACCCGCATTCAAGACTCTAGTGAAGTACTACAAATCCGCTCTCCATCTGTCGCTTCGAAAAGCTTGTTTCACGTGCGCTTATCCGGGGACCCTGTGGCATCTTTGTCTGGTCTTGCTGGCGTTGGTGTCGCACTAAGCGCTAGAGCTGAGGCAGCACTAATCGACTGGATCCCCATTAACAGTCGGTTATGTGCTGTTAGATTAGAAAGTTCCATCAAAGTGAGAAGAAATCGGCGTGAGAATCGACAGATTGCAGCCTGGATCCAATCAAGGATGAGTTTTACCACCAGTTAACAGTTCTCCAGAAAGCGCGTTCTACGGATATTGTAGTACTAGCCGGAGACTTGAATGCACAGGTCGGGCGTCTAGGCACAGAAGAGAGTCGTTTAGGTGGCCGATGGGGACTTGTTGGTCGCAGGACAGATAACGGGGACCGTTTGCTGCAACTGTGCACAGACCACAACCTGTTTCTGGCTAGCACTAACTTCCGGCACAGTCATCGCCGGTGTGTCACCTGGCGTCCTCCCTCTGCATCCCAAGCCTGGACTCAGATTGATCACATCGCGATCAGCTACCGCTGGCGTGGTTGTGTACAAGACTGCCGCTCCTTTTGGAGTACCTATCTGGAGTCTGATAATGCCCTGGTCTGCGCCAATCTTACCTTACTTTTCAGTGGCCGAAGGATTGACCACTACCAACGGATCGATGTTAATAAACTGGCAGCAACATCTGTTGCAAGTAAGTATCGAGCGGAGCTAGCTTCTAGGCTAGCTACCATCCCACCGAAAAGTATAGATGAGCATTGGTTGCGTCTTCATGACGCCATGAAAATGGCGAGTAAAGCCGCTTGCGGCTTCGCGAAACGTCCCGCTTACAAGCACTGGGTTTCTTCTGGCTCCTTACAACTAATGGAAGCCCGTCGGTCTACTCCGGGTGACCGTGAGTATGACCACAAACGAAGGCTGTTACGTAATGAAATCGGGCAATAAGGACCGAGAAGCCTGGTGGTCGGAGCGTGCTAATGAGATGGAAGCAGCACCTGCATCTGGTAACTGCCGGAAGCTCTTCCGACTCTTCCGAGCCACTGGCAGCAAGAAGTCTGGTGTGAGTGAAACAATCTACGAGGATGACGGGATGCCAATCACTAACATCTCTCGACGTCTTGGACAATGGGCTGAATTTTTCGAAGGGCAGTTTAATTGGCCTGCTGCTCCGGCAACATCGACCAGTTTGTCCTGCCCCCATTGACGGTGACGACTGATCCACCGAACGAGACGGAAGTCCGCAAGGAACTCCAACTCTCGAAACGTTACAAATCACCGGGCCCAGATGACTTACCTCCGGCTCTTTTTAAAGATGGTGGTGACTTTCTGGCTAAGGAACTGACTGCGTTGTTTGGAAAGGTTTGGGAGCAAGAAAGTGTTCCAACATCATGGAATGAGTCAATAGTCGTCCCTATCTTTAAAAAGGGTTCACGTTGTTCCTGCAATAACTATCGGGGGATAAGTCTACTTTCGATTGCGTCCAAACTATTGGCTTCTATCATTCTTCGTAGGTTGTTTAAAACCCGAGAACGATTGACTCGCGAGGAGCAGGTTGGTTTTCGTTCTGGTCGAGGATGCATTGATCACATCTTCACCCTCCGCCAAATGTTAGAACACCGTCATACTTATCGCAGGCCAACAATCGTAGTGTTTCTTGATATCAGGGATGCCTTCGATTTGTTGGACAGGACTGTTCTCTGGAATTGTCTATTGAAGAAGAGTGTGCCTGAGAAGTTCATTAACATCTTAAAGGCCCTGTATACGAACACCTCAGGCAGAGTGAGGGCATACAACCACCTTTCTCCCTTGTTCCATTCGAGCAGTGGGGTTAGGCAGGGTTGTCCGATCTCACCATTCCTCTTCAACTTTGCCATCGACGACATCCTGGAAACAGCTCTGATGGATGTAAGTAATGGCGGTGTGGATATGTTGCCTGGAGAACGACTTCTCGTCCTTGAGTATGCGGATGATATTGTCTTACTGTGCGATAATGCCCAAGGCATGCAATCCGCACTTAATCAGTTGACAATCAGTGTCCGCAGGTACGGCATGTGCTTTGCACCCTCCAAGTGCAAAGTACTCCTACAAGACTGGCAGGATTCTAATCCTGTACTCACCCTGGATGGTGAGCAGGTCGAAGTAGTTGAGAAGTTCGTGTATCTAGGTAGTTACATTAGTGCTGGTGGTGGCGTGAGTGATGAGATTGATGCACGTATAATGAAAGCCAGAGCGGCTTATGCCAATCTGGGCCATCTTTGGCGCCTTCGTGATGTTAGTCAGGCTGTAAAAGGTCGGATCTACAACGCGTCGGTGAGAGCAGTTTTGCTCTATGCTTGTGAAACCTGGCCTCTCCGAGTTGAGGATGTTAGAAGATTCTCTGTGTTCGATCATCGTTGTCTCCGAAGGATTGCTGACATCCAGTGGCAACACCATGTTAGTAATGCAGAGGTTCGGCATCGTGTGTTGGGGCGCAGTGACGATAATTCAATTGGTGTCACCATCTTGAAACACCGACTTCGGTGGCTTGGACATGTTTTACGAATGTCGTCCCAGAGAATTTCACGTCGTGCATTATTTGCCGACTCTGGGACTGGTTGGAAAAGGCGGATAGGTGGTCAGTGTATGACATGGTGTCGTGGTATGAAAGAAAGCTGCAAAGGGCTGGCTTGTGTGGGTCCTTCACGACTTCCTGGCTGTGGTCCGAGAGATGGTACAACACAGTGGCTAGAGACGTTATCAGATATGGCTCAGAATAGAAGCCAGTGGCGAGCCTGCTGTAACCTTCTTCTACTTTCTTCATAAAGAGTGGCTATAACTTTCCTAACTGAGAGAGCTCTTCTGGTTGTACATTCAGTTCCCCCCATCATTACTCTTCTCCTTTTCTTTTTTTTCCTTCTTTTATATATACGCATCTTCTTCCTTCTCCCATTCTCATTATTTTGTGTGGCGCATATGTATCCGGTGCCCTTTGTACGAATATATATGTGATTAAATAAATAAAAAATAAAAAACGTATGGTGTTGGAGAGTTGATGGCATTACTCTGTGAACCAGAGTTAGATGCAGTGGAATTCTAAAGTGCAATAATATGGTTGAGAGCCAACTTTCCTTAAAAAAAGGGGGGCAACTATGCATTGACTGATAAGTGCTGCTTACATTTCCTACTTAAGCCATCTACATACGTCACTTTGTAACCTTGGCTAACCTCGTTCCCGTGATACTAGCTCCTCACTCAGTGAATTTCAAGAGTAGCAGTCTATGTAACACCCTGTCAAACTCTATTATAAACTGGAATACAGTACGAAGCAAACTTGTTCTATTCCGTTACGTGGTCAAACAGTCAAACAATAACAAGTCATAGATGTAAGCGACATCAAAAGTTCTTATTGAATAGGTGCTTTTAACTTAAATTTAGCAGTGAGATTTCAGCCACTCCTTGAGCACTAATGAGATAACCGGAAGGATATTACTTGATCAGAAGTTAGAAATATCAGCTTTTAAAACCAACATTGTGACAGGCAGAATTGATGATAATCATCATACGACAGAACACTACTTCAGTCACACCCTAATATAGTTGACAATTTCACCTCATGAATAAACCTGAAATTAGCTGGCAATCAACCTCCTTAAACTTTAAGCAACCTGCACAGCATGGTTTTGGTTTTTATTACTGTGTCAATTAAGAGAAGCATCACGAATCTCAAATTTGGATGGGAAAAAACAAATCCCATGCATTATTTTCGCTAACATACATCAAGATGAAACGTCTGTCCGTCTCACAATCAATTACATCCCCTAACAGCCACTTAAGATCCGCAATAACAGAGGAGTAGATACTTGGACAATTCAATGTCTGAAAACAAGTCTGTTACGCTTACATAACTGTAAAAAATAACAACAGTGATAGCTAGAACTCTTGTCAGATATTCGCTTCACGAAGTCGAACTCATTCTCTTCATTGTAATTGTTTTCTACTTTATCAAACGTTATCAATTAATTAGATTTGTTATATCCTTTAGTGCATGATCTTTAAATATCACAAACGCTCTAAATAAGTATGCAGCACTTATGACCAAATATTAGCGTAGAAATACTTTACACTTACTCATGACGTTTAAATACAACAACCATTACATGGAAGTCATGCATCACAATCTGAACACTAGGCTTTTGTTTTAAAGTTCCCGCCTATGAAAATACAAAATCTGATATCCATGTGACGAGCTAATAAAAGAAATAGTTGATTTCTTTGTGCCCACTTTCTGTTATTTTCCGTACGGTTTCATTTAGTTGGTAATGTCTAAAGATTGTAGTAGTCTAGCAGTCTGAATGCATTGGAAAATAATGATCTACACAATGTTAGACGGAAGTGTAAGAAAAATGCGAAGATAAAAAGCAAAACAGGAATAAACGCGTGATATGTAATAGTGATAACAGTAGAAAAGTTACGAAGCATGTACTAGGTACAGCTAGTCAAAGCATGAGATGGTTATCCATGGATTTGTAGGTAATTATCAAGCTTCCTCTTGAAGCCAATTTACGAAGAGTCTCTGGATACTTCGACTAAAAGAGTATTCCGAATTGGCATAACTCTTAATGAAAAGAAGTGAGGTCGTACATGAGCTTTTTCTTTCTGATGAATAATTATTCGAGGACTGACTCAAGGAGCGTGATGGTGATGTTCTGGTAGAGTGTTCGTTTTTCAGTAACTTGGAGTACTGAATAGGTTGAACGCCAATATCAGATCACCTCTTATTCAAATATAACTCTGCGAAATAACCCCAAGTGTCTGAGATTGTCTGCATGACATTTGTTCAACAACCTCACCAACCTCACTCGTCTCTGTACCTGGCCTGGGAGGTTTGCGTCTCCGTTGAAGTGATTAAACTTAACAACATTGTGGAATTTAAGGTGAGTCTGTGAGCATGTTTTCTGTGGAAAATCAGGGAGAGTTGTGAGGTGGTTGCGTCGAGTTGTATTCGTACAAATCGAATCACTGCATTTACTTTAGCTTTATCACCAATTCAGCTTGAGTTGATGTCCAGGCTCTCTGTGGTTGTCAGCCGTAGGCCGAACTCTGAGGAGACAATTTGAGCAGATTTTCACGTAGTTTGTGAGTTATTTGTATCGCAGGTTGTTGAAAATTCATGGAATGCCATTTCGACAAATTAAACTTCAATCTAATATTCACCGCCAATTTGGTTTTTTGTGAGGTGCTTTTGGAGCTCGAGTGATTGCATGTCCTTTCTTACAGATTTCCGGATCTGGACATAGACACCTAATATAACAGATAGTGAGTTAGTCATATTCAATCCATCGATAATAATTGGGAACAAATGTAGACACAAGATGGTTCTTGTGAGATACTCCTTATCGCGAACATTGTGTACCTTGGCGTCGTAGCGGTAAATAACTCCCTAAAATAAATAGCTCTGTATGTTTTCGAAATTGACGTTGACCTCATCAGTTTTACTGGACACGCTCTATTTGAAGGTCCTCAGTCACGCATCCACACAGGATCACCATTGGGTATGTTATGCTATGCATCTCTCCCAGCTACTAGCTAGCTCAAGTCACACGCTTAGACCATATTCTTCCCGACAAATCGGCTAAGTCCAAGAAACTTCATTCCTGACTTCTGGTTTGACAGAGTTAGCAACACATGATTATTTAAGTCGCAACAAGCACAAGACTTTTCAATTATGTGACATAATTGGTCCCAAACCTCCGATTCTTTAGGTCTTATGGAGACAAGACAGAATCGGCTCGGTGAAACCTATCTTCGCACCCTTCGTCACAAGGAAAGGGTCATGGATTCTGTGTCAAACGCTTCCACTAAGTCGGGGAATATTTCATAAACCTGCATCTTTAGCTCCCTACAGATTGCCCAGCTGTTCCGTGACAGGAGGAAACTGGATACTCAGTGTCTCCCTTTTAAAAACCCGTTGTAATGAAGAAAATTCCGATATTTGACCTGAATACAGAAAAGCGAAGAAACAAAGTTTGTTCTATTAGATCAGACTTCATTCCTCTGTTTAGTCTCAAAACCCCTTTAAACCCGCTCGCACCAAATTATATTAAAACGCAAATTCGGTGCATCATCTAAATGGTTCCATGAAAATTACCAAACAATTTTAATTTTATCCCGTAGTAAAACTGTGGCTTGTCAAGAAAATCATTGGTTCTCAAAACAAGAAGCGCAGATCGTTAGCTGGAGTTCAGACCATTATTCTGTAGATAGGGTCGAGTCGCGATTAACTATGATCATCACTACATGAAAACTACGTGCCAGGTATCGACATGAATCCCTCGGTAGGCCAAAAACCAGAAGGCTGTTAGTGGTTGCAATAAGATATATTTTTTGATGATCTCGTAGTATCGACACGTGCCAAACTTTAAAGGCACAACTGCCGAGTGTAAACAAGTTCGTGCAAGGTCACAGGCAACGGAAGGAAAAAGTGTCTTTGGTACAATGAAACAAACAAGTACAGTAAAACAGTCAGTGGTACATTTGGTTATAATAGTTGTTTCCACCATATCAGTCGCATTCTCGTAATAAAGGTAGGTCACTACAATTCCATGGTGAAAAGCTTATGTCAAAGTTAGTGGGATGTCCATTCCCACGGGTGGAAGAAGGACATTTGGTTTACATGCTTGATAAAGATAATTCACATCTGACATCACAGATTCACGCGTTTTACCGGTGAGAACGATAATTTGTAAAACGAGTTACCCACTGAGATATTGTCCCGGTGGGCGTACTAAAAGTATTCAATTAATACAATCGTGCAACACAATATTTAGGGAGTTTTAGACAGTAAGTGTTAGATATGTTGACATAATAGAACTGGACAGTAAGTTTGAAGTAGTCACAAAGTATTCTCAGCAGATTGCATGGTACCAATTGTGACCTCAATCAACATTTATATGGTCCAGATATTTGCAAAAACCGAACAGTTGCATGATACAAACGTGGAGCTGAAGAAGAAAAAAAAGAGAAAAGATTAGTAACAGAAGAAACTTCTGCGAGTAGTCGACAAAGCTATTTAACCAGTAGACAGAGCTGTTCATTGACAACAAAGTGAACTGTCGATAGATAAACAACCAATAATCCACGGAAGCCAAGTTCAGCGTTTAGCAGTAAATGAATCCCCAAAATTAAAACTTCTGCAAGTCTTTGACATTTGTGCTGACCTCATTAGTTTTGCTGAACGCGCTCGGTCACGCACTCACACCAGACTATGGGTAGGTACTCCGTGCTATCCATCCCGTAGGACTACTGAACAGCTTAGATCAAACGCTTCTCAACTTGCTGACAACCTTTCGATTGTATCTCCAAACTCATTCATTCACAGTTTCTGATTTGACTGAGTAGGTACCCCCCGATTATAAAGATGTTACGGACAAAAGCGTTGTCAGGCCTTGAATTTTTACAATTCGGTTGTTTTTTACAACTTCTATACCTTATCTGTGACGCACCAACTAAACATCGATAAACCGGAATACGGCTATATATTCACAAATGCCGCACTGTATAGGTTTCAATATACATATAACGTGTACAGACCACAAAGATGTTTAGATTTTTTGGAACAATGTTGCACACTCCTATTTCTACTCACTGAAACTGGTTTGATCAATTTGTTAAGAAATCCAAGGGTCTCCTGCTGAGCAGAAAGCGATATTCTGTGCTCTAAGGAATTAGTACAATCAGACTGCAATGTGTCAACCTGACAAACTGTTAAGAAATGCAAAACCAGCTAATCGCCTATGTATTCATGAGTGATCAGAATTTTGAAATGGAACAGAGTGTGTTAAGCAACATTATTTCTGTAAGCGTCACGTTAGAAGTATATCTGATGGTCAAAGCTTATGGGCCGTGGGTAAGGTATCGATACGCACTGGTTACTAAAATAAGATTTTCTAAATTGATGCATAATAATAAGATTCGACTACTCAGTAGAAGGGTACGGTAGTATAATACTTCCAAGGAGATAAGTAACGAAATGAAACCAATAGGGGCGCAGGAAAATACGTGTTGAAAACGAAAGGTTGATGAAGTATGAGGAAGAAACTCACATTATTCTGAGATTGATAATGTTTCTTGTGGACACCTACAAAGCGATTTCCTTGAACTTGCAAAATTCGCTGTTGAAGTGTGATGCAAAGAAGTTTCACGGCCCAATGACTGCAATTCCACAGGTAGTTAAGCGGTATATCGTGGAGTTCAATCGCAGATTCAACAAGATATCTATTTTATTTATTATGGAACGGAAATGTACTATATCCAGAAGAAAGGCATGAAACGTTGAAACTAATATATGTCTAAAACTAGCTACATGAGCTATTAGAGGATACATAATTATGTGGTAGATGAATAATATCGTAAAATCCTCTTAACAGGCTATTTAGTCACCAAGTTAAGTGCTTGGGAGTTACATAAGCAAACATAATCCATTTTAGATAAGCTACGACAATTTGATAAACTCCGAATCGGTCTACATAGCAGCTTACGGAAGACCTGGAGTTTGATGGTTTTACTTAACCGTATTCATTTTGGCAGTCTGTTTACAAGACTATGTGGCAAGGTTAGATTGACTCTTCGTTTGTGCCACTAAAGATCTATATTTCTTTCTGCACATCTATCATCACAGAAAAGGTCAGGAGTGTGAAGTCTCTAAAAACGAAGTTGCATTTTTGCCATTTTTGTCTGTTCGAGAAGCATATATGACTGGATAGTAATTTAGTTGAGGCCGAAAACACACCCTATATGATTCATTGTGGATTTCTTTAGGTGAAAGTTACTATAGATAAACCCAATAACTCTAAGAGCTTTGGAGAGTCAAAGTCCGATTTGTTCGGTGAATAAAAGACTTTTAAAATATCTCACTTCTGAACCACAAATAATAAGTAGTTGAAGCCTTTATTTACCTTAGTTGATGGTATTAATCGATACCCCAACACTTACACTATTAAGTGAATGTTTTAGTAGTCCTGTGACGTACACGTTGCTATACTTGAATCTCAGGTCTGCTGACATGTGGTGAAACCGTCACTTGTATACTCACGTTGATCACATGTGTTAGGTGCCAGTGCGAAGGATTCTTAAGCACCTCCCATAGTCCCATCAGGTCTTTTATCGGATTGTGCTGACCTTCAAAACAACAGGAAAGTTAAATTAAACACAAAGTTTCTCCTTGATAATAGC